TATATTTCATCCGTAAACATTTATAGAATGAACTATCAGAAAAATTAATTTCAATTTTCTTAATATATCATATATTATTTTTTGTTGCCTTTCCTTGTTGCCTTCATTTTTTTCAATTAACTTCAAAAATTATATATAATCCATTATTCCTGATGGGTATCTTAATAATATCTATATTAATATATTTCATGTATTTTAACTACTTTAAAAACCTCTTATAATGTAACATGGTAAAAAGAATTTTGACGCAATTCGTTATTGAATTTATTTGTCGAACGTTATAGATTGTTGAAGGATACGTATGAAATATTTTTATTATTAATTATGCAATCAAACAAAAAATCATTTTTCTGTAATAATATAACGTAACAAAGTAACAAATATTATAACGCAATATTATTTGTATATATTACATCATAAAAAGATTATATATATAAATATAAATGAATATAAGGCCAACAAAGGATAGGTACTAATATAAGACTCAAAATATATTATTTTTTATCAGTTTAATTCCTAATACAATCTTAACAAGAAATTCAAAATATTAAACAAATTATTTGAAATTGAATGGATAAATGGAAAATAATCCATATACTGCTTATATACTTGCTTATTTGAAGCAAAAAATTGAAATTTCTATATAAATTAAATATATATAATTTTATTTATTTATTTAATTGACAATTTATTTATGTCTAATATTTTATATGAATCAATTTTGTATGGAACGTAACTATAATGTAACAACGACATAAGAAGTGTTAATATTACATTATCTTATATTACATTTACAAATACAATTAACCAGTAATTTGCCGCCAATATTTATAAGTATTATTTATAACACTTTGAGTTTCGTTTTTATATAACATTAATATAACAATGGGTTATTCTTTCGAAAACAATCATGCTCCCATTTAAATCAAATTTTAAATAAACAGGTTCCTTTAAATAAAAAAAAAAAGAGTATGACTTTGGTGACTCAAAAATTAAGACAAGTCAAAGTCATTGACCTCTTTAAGTGTTCATGCTTTGTTGACAAGTTACAAAAGAAACTAATTTAATGTAAATTCAAAACGATGACTTTAATAACATATTAAGATCAAGATTATCCATTTTTTTAGTGAAAATAATATTCACTTCTGTGAAAAAAAAGTTTTAATTTTTGAGTCGTCAAAATCTTTGTCACATATACTTTTTTCCCCTATCTAAAAGAAACTTGTTTAATCTATATTGAAGCATGATTCGTTTTCGGAAGTTTCGCCTAACAATGTTTACTAGGAACATAATCAATCTATCATATAAAGAAATTCATTGAAAAACTTATAAAGATAAAAGATTAAACAAAATTAGAAAATTTAATAAAAAACTCTGTGTTAGATGAATATGATGAAGAGCAAAATTATTATATGATGAAGAGCAAAATTATTATTATCTTGGATAATAAAATGTCGAACGGAAAGTTGTAAAGAGTGAAATATTTTGGTACGATAAAATATCAGAGAAATTTTAACAACAAGTATTTAACGGGGAAATAGCAGATAATGAAATAATTTGCTATCAAGCTTATCAAGATTCATGAATCTTGTTCATATCAAAAACATATAGTGTTCTCCGGTTAAAAGATCATTTTTCGTCTTAATTATATTAGAATCATGAGTTAGTCCACCTCTTTTAATTTTTAAAGTTGATATGTCTTAAAACTTTATTTGAGGTCGAAACTAACCGACTTTATAAAATGTTATTGTAGTTAACTTGTTCTCATCTACTTGGCTGTCGAAAAAAAATGTTTTCCTAGAAGATAAATAAATCCACATCCTAGATCGGTATTCATAATCCTTTCTTATTTCAAGACTGTCTCAAATAATGTCTTAAATTGCTAACATACCTCTGTGATTGGTTTTTAATATCTGAAGATTGTATCTAATAATAGTCTTAAATATAAAAACGGACTATGAATACTAGGCCTAGTTATATAAGATTCTTGCATGATGATTTTACAATCGGAAAACACATACTGTGATCCGGATTTATAACTTATTTCCGGAAATGTTCACGCAAATATTTAAAAAAAAAATCTTTTTTTAAACGTATTGTGTGACTTTTTAAATTTATGCATTATTAAGCTCGCTTATCAGTCTGATCGATAAAATCTATGTAGTACTTGAAAAAAATTATGAAGGAATCTGTTATAGTATGTATATTTGTTATGGATGCTCTTATACTGTGTATTAATATTGCGTATTCACAGTACTATATTTTTATGACAAGATCTTTATATTTAAGGATTCTGCGAAAAGGAATTACATATATATGTGTAAATGCAAAATCGAGAAAAATGGGCATTTGCAATGATGTCCTAACATTTATGCAAAATTCACTATAATTTAGTATTTTTTTAACTCTTGCGATTTTAGTAAATAATGTGTACAATATAGATACATCTCAATAACATTAATTATTGTACATATCGCATGACATATTTTCATACGTGATCGTTTTATATACTACAATATATGGTCAGAGTACATGATTACATAAACAGTGAAATGAGTTTATTTTTTTCTTTTTTTTAGTGATTTGTATTTATTTTGGATATATTGCGGTGAGTATAATAATATATTAATACAAATATAAAAGAGAAATAGGGAAGAGAAAGAGAGGGAGAGAGAGGAAGAGAGAGAAAGAGAGAGAGAGAAAGAGAGAGAGAGAGAGAATAAAATGCTTAATTGTTAGACATTGATATTGAGATAAAGTAATTTTTAATTATATGTCAATATTGTTGAAGGGAGAGAATTAAATGTAAAGCACAAAATAAGAAAAAAATGTTATATAAATATAATATTATATCAACATAAATTGTTCAAATTTTATTTTTTCAATTATAACAAGTAAAACAAAACACTCGAAATAATTGCTTTCTACTGTAATATTATATTGAGATATGTCTTGAAAATTATTCTTGTTACTTTGGAAGTGACAAGAATAATTTTTAAGATGTATCTTAACTTTCCAAAAGATCAAGATGTCGTTTGAATTTCAAATTCATTTTATTAATTATTAAGTCTATCTTTGTTTATACTTATTATTTATATAAATTTTATTATTATCCATGTACATATTATATTCGTCATTTCAGCAAAAGTAAAAGCAAGTATCTAAGCATTTTAGTAGCTTATTATTTCAAATAAAAGTATTGACAGATCGAGGACAATCATAGTATCTCAATGTTTTTATTATTCATAATCAAAGGAATACTATAATATAATTAATATTAATAAAGTTTATTATCAGATCATACTTAGAATGTGAAAGACGAACTTTAAACATTTTTTAAAATTTATTATAATTCAAAAAATAAAGTTTGATCGATCTGTTTCCTTTTGATATTTCTTATCTTGTTTTTACATTTAATTCTTGAAATACTAACATATAGTTAAGAATTATGTATATCAAAATATATATGAAATAGTATTATTTATATATTGTAGAACACAAATGCACAGGACGACAAAATTATAGAAATTTCTGGCGGATCAAGCCGCTGGCAGTAATTTCTATATTTTTGCGTAATAAAAACATTAATATAAAGAGAGAAAAAAGTAAGCTTATGCCATTGACATCGCGCAGACAACTTTGCTCCGTATTTTGCGAGTTATATGCAAAGATTTGTCATAAAACATGTTTATGAAAAAAAAAAAACATTTTGCTTGCCATTTTCATCCATTTGTATTGGCTGTCATATTCGAAAGTACCCGATTTAGTATGTTTCAACAAGTACTGTGATATTGAAGATAATTAAAAATATGTGTGACTTTTATATAAATATATCAATCTTATTTAACATTATTTAACTTCTTTTATATCAAATTTTATCAAGAATTATAAATAATTATTAAAAAATAATGATTATTTTATGTATAGATTTTTGAATGAGTGTGTTCATCGCATATTTTAATGCAGCTTTTGATCATTTCAATGGTTTTTAATATTGTGTGTGTATGTATAAAATGTGTTGCGTGTGTATGTAAAATTCTTGGAAATATTACAAATTTATTTACTGTATACATTATTAAAACGACTTTTATAACTTTTTTTATTATATATATATCATTGTGGAAATTTTATTAACAGTATACTTAATCTAAAACATTGGAGCAAAAATTTTGTTGTATAAGGCACAATAAGGTTGTTAAAGCAAAATTAACATAACGAAATGTAATGAACATTTAAACTGTTACATCATCAAGTGTTATAATTCAAATATTGCAGCGAAGTTGCCATCATTTGTAACAAGTGTCCTTAGAATAAGAATTTTACAATAACAAGGAAACTTTATATATCGTGGTAACGATTTTAATCATTATAAATATCTATTGTTTGAGATAAATATATCGATTAGAAAAGCCACACATACAAGCACTAATAACTATTTTAATTTTGAGTTACATATATGTATTGTCAATATCATGGCTCTGAGAACATATGGAAGGTTTTAATTGTCATTCTTTATTTACTACAAAAATATTAACAAATAAAAGTCCATATAAAATAGCGTGAATATAGTCAATGAAAAATATTGAACACAGTTTATATATATACAGTGTGAGGCAAAAGTTCTGATTGGTCCTAAAGGCGCATTCACATCTTGGCAACAAAGCAGAAACCAATCATAACTCGCGCTGGTAGTCATAATTTCTACTTTTTGTCTTTCTAATGTACTGCTTACACACTGCTTACCAGCGCGAGTTCTGATTGGCTTTCTGCTTTTCTGCCAAGATGTGAATGCGCCCTAAGGGCCTAAGTTTAAAAAAAGTTTTGCATAAATAAAATAAATATCTCTATTGAGTTTTGTACATTTTTGGCGAATATAGTCATTTTTAATTAATAAATATATTTAAAAAAAAATTTTTTTTAAATATATTTTTGATATTTTCGCCAACAAAGCTTTTACTAGCATAATAGTATCGCGCATATGATTAGACCCAACCTCTTTTTCAGGTCAGCTGATCAGCATAGATCAATTAAATTCATAGGAGAAGTAACGTGGACAAATAGAACTTCATTTATGTGATCTTTTTATTTGGGATTATGCAACATTATATCAGTTATTTAACTTTTCTTTAATCGCGAACATCGATTGGCTACGAGTCTTTCAGATTCGCTTCCTTCTCACTCTATTGATCGCGCTTCTAATCGTCTGATTTCTAATCATTGAATTTTATTTCGTCAAATAGTAGTCTTCTTTTCTCTTCGAGGTACGAGGAATATAACATCCGAAAATGAATCGTGTCACAAAGATCCTTAAGAGTAAGGAAACTCGTGACTATTTTATGAGGCAAGTACTGCTGGTTATGAATATGCCTATTATCGCTATTTATATAATGCTCACGCGATATATGAGAACTACAATGTTTTTCTTTCAGCACGCATTTTTGGGGTCCAATCGCTAATTGGGCTATACCGATTGCTGCCCTTGCCGATATTCGAAGAGATCCTAAATACATAAGTGGAAAAATGACTTTTGGTTAGTTCAATGCTTATCCCATACGTTTTATAACGGTCCATTTATAGAAGATAGATATTCGAAGGAATTTTTTAGTTGGATGTTTATAGTATTTTTTATTTATCCAATCTATGATTATTGATAATTTTTTATTTATTTTTATATATTGCATTATTTTTTGTCTTTTCCCTTTTCTATAAAATTCTCTCAAAATTTTTGATTCCTGGCGTCATAATTGACGTCTGAATTATGATGTCAGAAGGGAGAAGTCAATTTTTTTTCTTGTTAAATATATCGAAATAATTAAGTTTTTTGAATGCAACTAATCGTATTTGATAATATTGATGAGTAAAATGCACTGAAGATTCTCGTTTTGATTCGTGAATTAATAAATGGCTATAAATCTCAATCAATCATTGTAAGATTCAGTTTCATAGGTGTAAACAAATGTAAGTAGATGATTTATATATTTGTTATAGAATAATAAAAAAGGAAACTTTCGAAATTTATTATCTATATTATTGAACACAATCAATTGCATCCAAAAAAAATTTATTTTAATGTGTTTTCCCAAAAATTTTCATGATTTCTTGTTTTCACATCATAATTCAATACAATTATAGATACACGCTAATAAGAGACTTTGAGCTTTAAATTAAACTTTTATTAAATAACTCATTGCAATGTATGGCTGCAATAAGGACACAGCAGTCTTAATGAAATCTATCCAAGATATTTTTAAGGAGAATTGAATCAGCTATGTCAAAGGTTAATAAATCTACCTATAAATATTGTTATATTAATCTTAAATAAAAACAATAAAATGGAATATTACATAATATATATAAATATTATTGGTAGGTTACTGATTAATTGTAATTTTTTATTAATGTAACATGCAATATTACATGTTATATCATTGTAATTATTACTCCATATAGAATTCGTTAACATAAAATATTGATCATATAGAGTTGATAAAATATTGATCGTCGAGTTGGTAGTCAAATAAATAAAATTATATGTATTAATTTATAAAACTTGAGATTTAATTTATATAGAAATTTTAATTTTTTATTTCAAATAAGCAGTAAACTAGTTTTCATTTATCGGTCCAATCTTTTAAATCTGTGTTTAAGAAGATATATTTTGGATATTACGTATTAGTACTGATTCTTTGTAGCTTTATATCCATGACAAATTGAATATGAGTCGATTAAGTGTAGTTTTGCAAGTATAGGAACATATATAACAGTGTTATAGGAATATATATAACAATATTCTATTCTAATAATATTCTGTTACATTATTCTTATAATAAAAAAATACATATGATATATATGTATAGTTTTGTAATAGCTTTACTTCATGTAGGTAACTTGTGTTACATTTGTTATTTCCATGTTATATTATTACGCAAAGAATATTGGATTAGTGCATTTCAAAATTTATGAATTTGATATTTTGCAAAACATTTTTAGTTTTTTAAAATATAAAATTAATTAGTTTATAAGTTCAAATAAAAATTTGTTTTGTAAAATTTAATCTCAATATATAAATATTATTATAAATCGAGTTAACTTTCATATAATGGCTGTATATAAAAATTCATGAAAATAAAACTTTTAATTCTACAGAACAAATCTTTACTTTAACTCATAGAAATTAATTATTAATTTTATATCTTAAATGCCAAAATTTTTTTATGCAATGTCAAATTTGTAAATTTTGAAATGTATTGAATGTATTAACTTTTGATATAGTTGATCTATCCAGTTTCTCCTTAAGTTTATTACAATTTTATAAAATCGTCCTGTATAAAATGTTATTATTTATTAGTTTCCAAAATTTTTTAGTCGACATTTTTCTTATTTATATAAAGATTACATATATAAGATTATATGTAATATAAGATTTTTATTATATATAATATTATATTTAAAAAAATTCAGTGTAAAATCAATAACTTGACAATCATGATTTTTACTCACAAAAAATTATTTTTTAACATTTTAGCTTTATTCATTTATAAAATAGAAAATAAATACCATAAACATTTATGTAGTGTATGTTATCATAGAATTTAACCAAATCTAACCAAAATCATAATTCTCTTAGAAAATAATTATACCTGTCATATTGTATACTGTTTAATATAAATTTTTTAAGATTCTATGTTAATCTTTTTCAGCTTTATGTTTATATTCAGTAATGTTTATGAGATTTGCAATCAGAGTGGAACCACGCAATATGCTTCTATTTGCCTGCCATTTTGTTAATGAAGGTGCACAAATTACACAAGGTTGTAGATTTATAAAACATCATTATCTCAATAAAAAAGAATAAATTAAGAAATAGATGATTACTTCGTCAAAAAACAAAATATTAAATTAGTACAAAATTGTTTTATATATGTATATATATATATGGTTGTGTATGTGTATGAAGAGAGAGAGAGAGAGAGAGAGAGAGAGAGAGAGAGAGAGAGAGAGAGACTGGATACTTGTTAAATATAAAAATGTATAAAATATTATTATAAAAATGTTTGATTAATAGTAAATATATTGCGATCAGCTCTTTTTTTGTTCGTTTATTACATTTATTAATAATAGGGATAATTATTAATTGCTTCAGAAAAATTTTCAATAGCTTTGATTAAACATTATTATATATTTTTTTATTATCTTTTCGAAATATATTTTAACACAATTAAGGCACAAATTAAAATTTGAAGTAAACTTTTATAAAATTATATATATTGATATATAAATTTATGTAAACTATTTCACGAAAGGTACAAAATATATATTAATATATATACAAATTAAATTATTTTACAAATATAGTTTTAACTATATAGAAATTCATAGTACATTTCTTCAAAATTGCATTTATGAATAATTTAAAAATTACATAAGACACTAATATAATAAATAAATATATGAAAGTTGAAAACAAAAAACATTTATAATAAAAGTTTTTTGAATTATATCATACTTTGTTTAGAAAAAACTGTCTTTAGAATTATGAGGGAAAAGAGCAGGGTTTCTAATATAAAAAATAAATATAAATGTATTGTGAATATACATATATATAAAAATATTAAAAATCTTTACATAAAAAGTTCAATTACATGTGAAAAATTTACTATAATATTACTTATAAAAGTACTACTACTTTACACATAAAAGTATAACAAATATTATTTCATATTGCCATTACAAAAATTCAATGACTTAATTCATAATCTTTTCATTTATCTAGTTTTAGTAATATTAACTTAATTTTATAATTTATAATTTATAATTTATGGACGGCATTTGTGGACGGCATTTATGGCGAATTTATAGCCGTTGTATTTGTTGATATAAAAATGCAACAAGACTTTATTTTATAAAATATTAAGTCTTATGACATATATAGAAGGATGTTCCAAATTATTCATTCACCTCTTTTATTTTGAATAAAAGAGTTTTAGGAAGAAAAACATGTTTACTATAATTATGTATAAAAGCCTACTTGAAGTTTCTGATGGATATTGATAATTTTCATTTCTAAGAAACTTCCGCGCGGAAATACCAGAAGTCAGAGACAACTTAAAAATTTTATGGCAACATGGATATCGTTGGATAGAGCTTTTTAAAAAACTTTGAAAAAAAATTTTAGAAGTTGAAAAGTTTGAGAGTCATAATTGCAAGTATTTTTTGTCATTTCCTGATAACGATAAGTGAATTAAATTTTTTTAAAGCAAAAGTTATTTCCCAAAGTTTCTTAAAAATGAAAATATTAGTACTCATCAGAAACTTTAGATAGGTTTATATGGCAAACATTTTTCCTCTCTTCCCTAGCACTACTCTTTTCAAGATAAAAGGGATGAGCAGATGGTCTGAAATACCCTATATGTATATGTTATTATATCTATAGTGTGTTTTGATTTGAAGTGTTAACACGGTTATTTTTTTTAACTAGAATTATAAAAAAAACTTTTTAAATAAGAATTTTTGTTTAAAAATCTAGATAAGAGACTTAAACTTTTAACTAAAATTTTTAATTTCTTCTTCAGAGTATTTTATTATACAAAGTATATTATTATTTTTTTCTTAATAGAATCTTAACATACATATGGTGTTTCTAAATAAGTGTGAAAAATGATGGATGATTCTTTGATGAAAATGAAGGATTTTTATATAAATATATATAAATATAAATATATATATATATTCCTATATTTCTCCTTGAAGAGTTATATTCCTCCAAAGTGGGAGATAAAAATTAGAGTTTTATTTTTTTTTTCTCAAGTTTTGGATAAGTTAAAAAGTGAAATTTGATGGATATTTTCCACTAGTAAAAAGAATTTGTTAAATATCTGGAAGAGCAGGGGATTTTGCAACATTTGAATAGATACCTTATTAAAATAAAAACTTTTAATTGAGATTATTTAATTATTTAGTATTATATCAAGAAAAATTGGTGCACAACTATAATTAGTTTCAATGAAAAATTAATGTTTCTTGAAACGCTACCTTCTGTGTTTAGTTCTTATTAATATGATGAAATTTATTTTATAATTTTATCAATTAAAAAACTGTGTAACACTTAAATCAAACACACTGTACATGTATAATATGTGCATGTGTGTGTTTATTTTATATTTACCTTCTTCGATTTTGAAAAAATATTATTAGTATTGGTAGTAGAAATACCCAACTGGCTTGAATTGATGCAGCACCAGCCAATCGACATTTAAACATGTCATATCTAAAATAACAATGTACAAAATCAATAAATTATTATTCATCATATAATGCAATCATTAATAGGTAATTTTAAAATAAACGTGCATAACAGCTATAATAATAATAATTTTCAAATCTTTCAAGCAGGGAAAAATATTATAATTACCTGGTTTTTTTATCATTTACAATATTATTAAATTCAGCTTCAACTAATTGCCCATCATAATATGTAATTAAATCCTCAAATGGATATTCAAAACCCTGCTTACATTCACATTTATATCCACCTGTCTCGAATCCTCTTCCAAGAATGGGTACACACTGCATAAATATATTAATTAAAATATATTGATGAATATAAATGAAATTATCATATGCAAAAATATGGAATTATAACAAAAATGTATCTCTCTATAATATTTTTGAATTTAAACAGGGTGTTCTAGAGTTAATGCATTAATAGCAGGTTCTTGAGATTATTTGAAAACTATTTTTCCTTAATGAAAATAGAAGATCATCATATTTTACAAGTTTTCAATTTTTGCCATTTTTATAATTGAGCCTTAAATTAAAATTATTTTACAGTATAAACTTTATCTGAAGAATATAGCTTTAGTAATCTTTTAACTGCTTATAAAATTTAATTTGCAAAAAGCCTTTTTTTAGATTGAATTGTTTATAATTCGGGAACTATTTATGTTTCGATATTTTTACTAAAGAAAAGTGGTCTCTAAATAATCTTAATAATCTGCTATTAGCAGGTAGTATGATATTAGAACACCATGTATAATAAATATTATTATTTAATATAATAGAATAACTTACATATGATGTCTTCTTATCACACTTGTGCGTATCTTTGAATGCGTTTGGTCGGTAAAATTTATCATCGCATTGATTTACATCTACCTGAAGTAAGTCCATGGTAACAGCTACAATGCCTCTGTAAGTATCTTAATGTTAAGTATGATCTTTCTCGTTTCGTCTCATTTTTATTATGGAACTGGTTTCGTATCTCCATAGTGTATTTCTCACATTGAATTTTTCTGATACACATGTTCTCGCGCGCGCACATATATAACACATACATACACATATGAAGATACATATGATCGTACACCGACGAGAACACTTACTTGAATTCCAGTTTCGCCTTCAAGCTGTCCCAGCCGAAAAACGGGGATGCATAAGTAATTACCCACTTCTTCACCTTGCCGTTACAATCGAAGTATGGAGTTGTCCAGTGCCCATGGTCCAAGTTTGCTGCCCTACACAGATGACCCATCCACCATATTCCCACACATTAGAATAAATCATGCTTTAGAGATCAGATTTCTCTTATTCTCCGAGAACATAATCTTTTTATACTTTAATGGTTTACTCATCACTTCAGAACATATCGATAATATATGGTTTTCATATATTATCGATATGTTCTGAAGTATATATTTTTTTACATTAACAATATGCGCATTTCCTTACCTATAATGGTTCGGGTAGTGTTCAAATTTTTTTAAGTGCTCTCCAGTTTCATTGTATCGAATTTTTATTTTCATATAATATTTCTCCAACTGATCAAAGTTTGTCGCCCAACGTTGTTTTAATACTTGGAAGTAACTTTTCTTTGTGTATACTTCATCTATAATCACAAAAATATAAAGCTGTAATTAATCGAATATAAATTTAAAAAGTATTGAATTTGATTTACAAATGGAACTAATTAAAAATTTAGTATATTACATTCCAATTTGTCAAATTATTTTTTCTTTTATTATATTATTTACCTGTGTCATTCAGTCTGGCTAAGTCTTCGAGTTTAAATTTACGTGTATTTAATTGAGTTTTGTAAGCATATGGAGCGAAGAATGTCCTATTAGTAAATTTATTACGATCCCAAAATACGCTAGCTGACCATATTTTTGTATCTCCAAGTATTAGAGCTAATGTCTCTCCTATCATTTGATCTTCCGTTAGCGGTCTGTCGGCTACTCTTTTACCCGAATATACTTCCAAAGGATCGGATATTTGAAGAAATGCACTGATGAAGTTCGCCAATCTAGTCGCCATTTTTGCTTCATTCTCGAAAAATTCTTCCGCGCCGAAACTAATATCGCCGCGTAATACTAAATCTTGCGGTGCATAACTGTGGGAAATAATTTAGAAATTATGTGCAAGTTAAAATAAGTATTTCAATCATGAAAAATGCGACAGAATAGCAGCACATACTTTTTACAAGTTCTCGAATTCATGCCCAAAATAAATTTGAGAACCTGATCAATATTCATCTTTGTTTCATAAAGCGAAGCTGGACCAGTCGAATAATTTCTATAATTATGATATTCCTCGAGATATTTTTCTCTGACATATGGTATTGCATTTTCCCATTGTACTGGCATTTTATGAATCCCTGCAGGATGAAATTTTTATTAAAGCTTTTTTCGATTAATACCGCAAAAAAAAAAAACAGAAAAATGCATACAGCCAATCCGCAGGCAGTCAAAACCATTATAGTATTGCTCTTGTGTCGCTCTCTCGATTATTTCTCCCAGGTAAGGTCGTCGTATGACAGTCGGTAGCCTGTAACCGGGTCTACATCTACATTGATATCCGCCTCTTCTAAAGCCCCAACCATGTATCGGCTCGCACTACAAGATGTGTGTAACAATATATTTGTATTTACACACACACACACACACACACACACACACTATGCATTTTTAATGAATATAATTTGAGATTTATATCATAATATTTAAATATATACCTCTGTAGTATCAGTTTTACATCTCGCAGTATTAGCAAATCTATTTGGACCACTGTTTCCTTTGCCCTTGGGACATTGATTTATGTCTATTCTGTCAAAGTCCATTTCCATCACCGAGATAGCAGTATATCTATAAATTTTATTATAATTTATAAACTTATATTATTATATTTAAAAATTAAAAATATAAATTTAAAAATTAAATTTATATTTATATATAAAAATTAAAAATGTAAATTATTTATAATAAAATTTTCTATTATCAAAATAGAAAAAAAAAACTATCATAATAGATTAAAGAGCCATATGCTAAGTCTCCATGTTAGATTCATATATTAATGCATTGAATATTAATTATTATCATTATATTGTTAACATACGTTGGGTATTCAATATGTCTGAAACCAGTATGCCGTGGATAGATATCTACTACTGGTGATACTGCAGCCACAAGCCATCTATTTGATCGACTACAATCAAAATAAGGCCTTGTCCATTTCACAGGTCCAGGATATTCATCGGCACCTGCAATGTAAATTATAATGTAAGTAAAATATTCAGTATAAGATATTCAGATTATGGAATTTTTTTTAAATTCTTTATTACCGGGTGGACCGTGGAAAGTAAATGTTTCATTTGTATTATTGGCATATCGTATCTCAACTTGATAAGTTGTTTTAGTATCATGCCTTTTTTCCACATTCTGGTCTGGTAACCATTTTTTGTACCTAAATAAAATATAGAATAAATACCTTATAAAATATATGAATTAATATTGATCAAATTTCATTCTTTTTTTAAATTTTATAATTCTTATTAACAAAAAAATTGCTTCAAGATATACCATTCGACATACCATTCATTTATACGATAAAAGTCAGTAGTGTAGTCATCGCTAAGCCTAGTATTAGGAAATGCTCCTAAATCTTGCACGGTAAATGTATTCCTAGTGGATATTCTTTCCAGATGTATGGGATCATTGAAATCATCCGCTCTGAAGGTACGAGGCGCAAATCTGGGATAGGTTTTATTAAAGAAACCTCTATAAGACGGCGAATAAGACATGTTGGGCGAGAAGTAAATGGCTGAAGCATTGATGTATGGATTGGAGGAGACATCTGCAACTGTAGATAGGAAATAGTACATCATGCCAGGATCATAAGTGTCGTTAATCGCCGGACGAATAAATCGCGACTGCAGGATGTAACTCCAGAAGAAGCTCCTGCTGAGCGCCATGTTATGGAGATGCAGCAGAGCCGTGCGATTTGGAAACACGGGGTTAATGTTGATGTCCTTGATATCGGGGAGGTGCGACACCGCATCCTCCGGTAGATACAGGTCGCCGAGATGCTGAATCTGACAGTTGTCGTCGTTCACCTTGTCCAGTCGCATGCGAATCTCGTCGAAGGCATCGCGAGTCTGCCACTCGTACTGGCCGATCACGACAACGCCCAGGAGGTAGTACAACCAGTAGATGACGATGATCGGCGTCATCGCGCGAGGAAGGGTAATCATTTTTGAGAAATGTTCGAGTGCTTTTTTGATCGAATTAACCCGTAATATCGCATCTAAAAGCTATTTCATAAAAACACTTCGTAGCTTTGGTCAACTTTGTAGCTTCAGTCAACACTTTACATTTTCAATTTCTTTCGTTTCTCTTGAATATTATTCGTAGTAATCCTATTTTATATTTTCCTATAAATAAATTTCGTTTGTTATAACACCAAGTCTTTGATATGTTGCAGGGAGAACGAATTTTTTATAAAATACTCTTACAACGTGCGGATCATCAACTAGGACTGAAGTAAACACGCCCAGTTAAGCGTGTTTCACAAGTTTCCACGAGTGACGTCATCATTGATAATTATGCCGCATTAATAGGTATGTCCTTTGTAGTTGAACTTTTTACACTTTTTGTTTTTTTCTCTCTTTCTTTTCAATTTCCAAATAATATATCATTGTTTAGTGTTTATTTTCCATGCTTACGGATTAATCAATTTTCTTATGCACCATGCAAGTTTGTCTGGATGTATCTTTATTCCTGAACTAGCTGCACTTTTTATTTCTCCTCTCTTTCTTTCTAATTTCTAAATTTAGGTCTATCCCATTTTTAGTGTATGTTGGTGCAGAAAATTCAAAAAAACAAAACTAAAAAAAACGAAATTATACTTTTATAAAAAACATATATATAATTATCGACTTATGTCTAAGAAGACTAGCACGATTGATCAATCAAAAGATTTTAATTCAACTAATCATCTAACAAAATGTAGGCTGTCGAATCACACTGCATAGGTGTCTGACATAAGATGTCTCCCATTTGAAATGTGTATTATATAGTCTCGACATTTCCGTATTAGGATTTTTGTTTTAATTTTGCTTAGGAATGTCATTAAAATTTTGGTCGCAAGTTGTGGGACACTCTGTATATCAAGATGTCTGATATAAAGAAATGCGTTTTGATATTCATTGCCAGTCAGTATATCACGACTAAATTATAGATTTTCAGTTACTGACAAATCTATGGTTTATGTCACGTATACTATAAATTTCAATATCAGTATCGAAATGCAACCAAGGTATCCCTTGGGATATTTTTGCAAAAATATATATTTAAATCTATATTTAATATAAAAATATATATTTAAATCTATATTAAATATATATTTAATCTTGTTAAACTAAGCTAAAAAGTCGTATATTTTATTCCATTTTGCAATCAACTATGTGTGTATGTATACATATATATAAGATATGTGTATGTATTTGATGTCACATGATGTAAAAAAAAAAAAAAAAAACATTTCTAAAAAATGTCGGTTTTTAAACTTTGCGAATTTCTAATTAAATATTTCTTTTTTTTTCCAAAGCAGCAATATAAAATTATGATTAAAATAAAATGCAAGAGGTTCATTAATACTGATTATTTAAACCTCTTATTTAGAATGATATTTAAATGATATTTATTATTAATTTTGAGTATATATAACAACTTTTTGTTAACAAGTTTAACATATACCCTATAAGCACACAATATTCCTAGGATATTGTATAAATATTATTAACTGTTAATAATATTTATACAATATTTTAGGAATATTGTGTCTTATAGGGTATCTTCGAAAATTTCACGCTTATTAATTTTTAAAATAGATTTTCATACGTGTTTGAAACTGTCGATTAAATTAGCTGCTTTGAAAGAATTCTTCCCAATTGTCATTACGATTCCATCCAAAGATCTTGTGCGTTACATTTTGTCATTTCATCACAGGACAATGTCTGCATGTTCTCGAATTATACCGCGTGCGCAGAAATAAAGAAGTACACTTCCCTTACGTATCCTACGTGCATAAAAATAGTTTTCAAAGCGTAAGAAGAAAACAAAAGTATGACTTAATATGAGATAACATTTAGGCGACCTTTATTATGATAATCCACATAGCGCCCTGGTCCAACGACCCCTCGAGAAAACCGGGCTCCGCCTTTACCTCCTCTGCTCCTCCTTTTTTTCGTTCGAATTACGCACGGCTATTCTGCCAAGCGATGGTTATTGTCCTGTAATACAGGTTCACCCCTATTTATCCCTGAAAAAGGGAGAATTTCTCTCAAAGCCAAACGAGTTTGCGCGAAAGCGAGTGAGAAGAAGGTAGCATGACTCACTGTAGGTCTGCTGGGGGCCAATGTTAATGTCACACTGTTTATGCTAGCTTGTGAGGGGGATTTCTCCTGAGAAAAATCTTCCTCACTGTCTGCATTCGTGGTGTGGATTGCCGATATTAACGTGGGAAACAAACTTGCACAGCGCGATCATTAAGTATTGTTGTCGGGAAAAATTCTCGTCTCCTCCTTTCAGCTGCTGTGCGATCGAGCATCGCTTGATTCTGTGCACATGCTCCTGGGCTCACTCATACTGATAGCCTTATATCCTATGTTAATAAGTGCATGAGTGCATCCAGAACCGCTCTTAACTTACCGGTTAAATAGCAATCAAAGGTGATTGATTTTTTATCTTTGAATTCTATCTTAATCATATTTGACTACTTAACTGTTCAATAAGCAATCGTGCTTCTGTATGCACTCATTATCTTAATACATTCGATATTTGAAGACATCGAGCATTATTGTTCACGATTATTACAGTAAATAATGTATGCATCTTATCTAATTCGATTTTTGATCAGAAATAACATTTACTTAATGGGCGCTTTTTAAATTACACCCTGTATATATGTATATAAGATGTAACTAAATAAACAAACATGGAGCGTACAATCAGATATAAAACAACAAATAGATAGGCGCTAATTAGCTAACTTTAATATCGTATAAAAACAAAAAGAAAATTCAGAAATGATCAAGACTTTTCGACTTTCGGTCTTTTATGTTTGTTTAGTTACACCTTGTATATACATGTATATAGGGTGTTTGATAAAGATTAAATCAATGTTCGTGAGCGGGTAGAACGCAATAAACTGAGTAAAAAGTCCTGTGCTATTTTGCAACTTTCGCAATAATTATTAAAATGTTAATTTAAAAATATTGGCAAGTGATCCCACGTTTTAAATGGCTAAAATGTATATTTTAGGTGTGTGTCAGCGATGAGTCTCACATGGCAACGAAAAGACAATGGTCGAAGTACGTGGCCAAACCCTTTTCGTGACCTAACCGAGAACATCTCACAGACTAGCTATGCGAAACACGCGATCTTTGCCAATCTTTTTCAATTAATATTTTAATAATTATTGCAAAGTGCTAAAGGACTTTTCTGTTCGTTTATTATCTTTCAGTTTATTATGTTCTATCTGTTCGTTGGTACAATCTTTATGAGACACTTTGTATATATAAAGAATATGAGACTTTATATATTAAAAGAATATAAAACACATCTGAAGTACAAAATTATTAAATATAAAAAATGAAAATGAAAGGAATATTCCAAATTCTATTTTTAGTTTTAGATAGAACGTAAATTAAATTCATGATAACACCAACAGAATATGATATTTTATATTATTTTAATCAAAGTATTTTATATGATCGCATATTAAAAAAACCTTATTCTATTAAAATGTCAATAAAAATAATAATATAATTTAGTATTCGTTAATTTCTGAATTTTGAATGCGGATTTGAATGTGAGTATAAATATATTTATCTTAATTATCGTTATTTTCAATTTTATAAATTTATGATTTTAAATCATGGTTTTAAAACATTTTATTCTACGTGGCGATTTTATCGATGCTGCAGACTTTGCATTGCAAAATATGTGTGCGAATACATGAATATGCGTAAATATTTAGACAGCCCAAACAATAGCAATAACAATTTTTAAATAATGGATAAAAATTTGTTATTTCAATTTCAATTTTTCATGATAATGATGACGTATGAGGACTGCAAAAATATGTATTGTGTGCGCAGACAATCGATCAATGTGACAAGAATGGCGCAAAGGATCCAAACATACGAAAAAGAAGAAAAAGAAATTATAGCGTCTGCGTGTGCGTGCGTCATGCGTGAATGTGTGTGTGCATCAGACAGGGAAGAAACAGAGGAAGTAGTAAGCACAAAGAGAAAATTAAAGGAAGGGGACGAGAGAGAGCGAGGAAAGAAGGAAGAAAAAAAAAGGAAACTAAAATAAAGGAAACAAGAAAGGAGGAAGGTGCAGGGCAAACGGCGTGTGACGATGTTCGAGAAGAATTTTTGTAGCAAGAACGTGGTCTACCGGCTGGCTGTTGGTTGGTAGTTTTCAGAATGGCCCGCTTCCGGCAGAGCCAATGTGGCGCAACACGACGTAGTGCGACACCTGGCTGGCTGGCTCGTCTGTCTGCTTACTTGCCTGGTTGCCTGTCTGCTTGCTTATCTGCTTGTCTGCATGCGATTCTCAGCAGATAAAAATAATCGCCAAGAAAATAGAAAAGTTCAAAGCTGAACAGGTTTCTGCAGGCCACACCACACCGCTTACGGTTAGCGAGCAGGGCCGTATAACATTGTTGGCTGATTCTGCTCGCCGATTGCCATTTCGATGAAGCGAATGTGCATAGAGACGTGCCAAAAGCGCAGATATATGATACTCGTAGATACGTATGTGTCTCTATAATTCACGCCTGTAAAATAGAGAAAGGCTATTTTTGTAACTTCATCATTTCGATTTAAAGCTCTTGTTTTATCTTTCGAGGCAAGTAGAAACTTTGTGGCATTGTCTCGTTTCATAAGAAAGATTTGAATTATATCGAAATCTTAAGACTTTGCTCAACGATAATATTTTGATAATACGATAATTTAGATAGGGGAAAAGATATTTATTAAATGATTCATATTTAGTAAAGTTTTATATAACTGGATGATATGATAAAAGTGCTATAAAAATTTAACTGATTTATTACTTGCATAAGGCAACATATTATTTAAGTATATTAACTTATTTTTAATGTATTTGATAATTATCTTCGTAATTCGTGAAAAAGTAAAACATTTGAATACATTATAATTTGCATGAAAGAATAAATTGCACAAAATTATTTTCAGAATTTAAAGTTTTTTAAAAATATTTATAGTAATCTATTTGCTTTTTAGTGTAAAATTTTCATATAAAACGTAATATAGAAAATATTATAGATTTTACTCGAATATAATAATTTACTGACAAGCTCGAATTATATATAACATATAAAAATGATATTAAATTAATAATACAGCGATAGAGAAATGATTCTATATATTACAGACTTTTCAAAATTTTTAAATCTCATTAAATCGTAGATGGAAGAGGCTCTTGGTAAATTTTTAAAATAATGAAATTAAAAAATGAAATTTCTTTAAAAATATATGTATGTATATATATATAGTTAAAAATTTTTTTAAAAATATACGAATATATATAGTGAAAAATTTTTTCAAAAAAGTATGTAATATATAGTTTAAAAAAATTTTAATTATACATAATATTATATGCTATTTATCTATTCCCACGTATTAAAATGTATGGATTTGAATGAAATTTGTACCTATGCATCTCCATAAAGTATAACTGGCGAAGTGGTATTTGGAGATGTTTCAATTCGACAATTATCTTGATTGAATTGATGTGAAATAGAACAGGGTAACTCGATGCTTGTCGACGATCCTGAGTAAGGCGGAGCCCGTACATCCTGCGAAGAGAGGTGAGTGGTTGAATCGGATTGGACTAGGGCGCAATTTCGACGGCGGGCGCAAAGAAACTGGTTTCGGTTTTGTGGAGTTTGCATCATTGCACCGTTCTTTCAGTGAGACAGTCCAATTTATGCATCACGGCTATGTAGGCACTACACGATATCAAAACGCTGCGCCCGAGCCTTAAATCCTCCACTCATCGTTGTCTCGTCTCACGCACACATTATCATCATAATTATTATCATTATCATCATCATCAGTGCCATTATATCGTTATCGTTGTCACTGCAATCACTATTGCTATCGTTAGTAAAATAATTTATAAAATTTGTGTTTTTTTACAACGTGTTATTTTATCTAACGGAAGAAGAAAAAGAAGAAAGAAGAAGAAGAAAGAAGAAGAAGAATCTATGTGTCTATTTACCTGTCTCACTCTTTGGTTCTCATCACGTGCAAGTGCCTACGCAAACTAAATTTAATTCAAATGGTTTGAAACATCACGCACCGGTCATACATAATAAAACGGACATTTTTCTTGTGGCCGATTCTTTTTTAACTCTTTGTGTGTGCCGCGTCCACATATGGTTCGATGCAGTTGTCACTATCATCATACGTCAACCAGAAATACGGAGAAATAATAGTTTCTTCGCGAAAAAACTGTGGCGTGCTAATTAATTATGAATTTTATGACACCTGGCCTGCGGAGATCCTGATTATTTTCTTGTGTTGCAATTGGTGTTCCTTTGTCATTGAAGCTACGAATTTGCTAAATTAATACCAGTGTGTGAGGAGTACAAATTCGATACAGGTACACGTACATTTTTTTTACCATAAACTAGAACATTGCAAAGCGCGCGCTTCGCGGGCGCCATTTAGAGTTTCTTCTACTATATATAAAAAAACTTATATATACAAATTTATGTATAAATATATATACAAATTTATGTATAATTATATATACAAATATATATAATTATACATAATTATAATTATATATACAAATATATATAAATATATATAATTATGTATGGAACTTAAAAACATTACATAATATAATTATTTATCAGTTCTTTTGATGTTATTAATTAGATTATATACACAGAAAACACGCACAATATATAATTATAGATATAATTATAGATATAATTATAGATATAATTATAGATATAATATGATTATACATAGCTAATTTTTTTCTTTCTTTAAATTTCATTTTTTTCTAAAAAAATAATGCTAAGCATAAAATATTCTTTATATCTAAATATGCGCGTATCATATCTGTAGTCTAGTTTACCGATCGTTTGATACGCGTATCAAATAGTAAATAACTAGTAAATCTGTTTAATCATTGGCTGATTAGCTTAAATGCACTACTTAATGAATATCACGATTGTAAACTAAACTACTGTTAATCAATGATAAAATAAATAATTTTATTTCAATATTATCTAACATTTTTTATCAAGGAAAAATCATTTCTAATATGCTTATAAATATTGGCTGTTAAGTGAACATACGATGGATAGATTTGTTATTAAAATTTGCTTATTATTACAAATTCGGCAGAGGTTTTCTGGTTTATATCAAATCTTTTGATACGCGTATCAAATAATAAATAACGAGTATTAAATGATCGAAAACTAGGTTTTTATCATGAACTACTTACTCCATTCTTATTCTCTTTTTCTTTTGTTTTTTTTTCTTTTTTCGATTTATAGAATCGTTGCTTTGTGTGCAAAATTGAATAGGTGCATCTGCTTTTCTTTTTTCTTTTCCTTTTAATGTGATATGCTTAATATGAACATTATAGTATCATGATGTGCAGACATGAGAAAAAAATTAAATCATTTGAAGAAATCCTTTGTCTTTAATTATGTATTATTTTTTTTCTTCGATCGACAAATTTTGATTTGCTTCGAAACAAAAAACGTAAGCGTAGTCTGAATGCTTCTGAAACAATGCGTACATACATTATTCAAGTTTATTTGAGATTTTAATAATGAATTCATATTAATATTAATATTTTTCGCACATTGATGTAGCTTTCTGCGATTAAAAAATGATCTATAATTTCTTTTAACTTATAACCAGTCAATAATAGTTGCAATAAAAACTAAATTTGTTATGAAAAAAATTATAAAACGGATATTTGTGAACATACGTGGCGTTTTTTTTTCATTTGTATTTCGTACAAATTCGTTCGTGGATATGTAATGGCGTGATTCATGGCGTGAACAAGATATTCAAAAGCGCACTTGCATGAAAATCGTGCCGATAATAAATAATACAGCGTGATTTTTCCAATTTTCGGAGATTTTGAGAGATCAATCCATGCATCTAATATTCGATTTCACATAAGAAAAAAGTATTCGCTTCTAATTCGTCATCGCGGTTTTTCTGAAAGATGAATATGTTAGTCATTGTTCGTGGAAACAATTTTATAATTTTTCATATGAAAATGATGCAATAACTATAATTTTTTTTATGAAGCAATTGCATTATTATATTATTTCTAACGTAATTTTTTGTCAAACTATGTGATTTGGGCCATGTTTGTAGATTTTCGTAAATTTACGTTGTGATTTTTGCAATTATAGTTTTCTACAATTGTAGTTTAGTTATAATTTACAATCAATATCATTTTATTATACATATATGTTCATTAAAATGTTTGTAAAAGTTGTAAAAATTAGTAAATATTTTGTATTCACTATAACTTATCATGAATTTCTACAATTTCAAAAATTTATAAGAGAATCTTGCGATTCATTGTTGAAAAAATTGCAGTGAGAATATAAAAATTTCTATTTTTTACAATGCATTACAATTACCATAAATTTTTATAATTTCCATAAATTTATATAAATGTGACCTGTTGCTGAAAAAGATATAATTTTTATAATTTTCATAAATTTTTAGAAATATTGTGATTTGTTAAAAATCTTGTTATACAAAATTTTGAAATATTTCTCATAATTTACTATTTACGAATCTCTCCAAACTTTCAAGTTCGTAGTTATCGTTGAAATCTCAATTTTTCGTCAAATTCGTTCCGGAGCGGAGTTCCTCAAGTTGGAGAAGCCGCTCGATCCCTCGTAATTTTATTTCGTGCGAGACGTCCGTTTGCCCGCGAATTCGCTCGTCACCTTGTAAAGAACGACAGCTTCCACCCGAGAGCGCGCTCCGGGCGCGTATACTCGAACCTCTCGGCGAGCGGCTGACTTTTTTTCCTCGTTGGGCCGCTCTTCGCGCTTGCCGGACCCCGGACCAATCAGAATTCGCGCGAGCGAGAAATGGCCAACGTCGTGTCGCTGGGTTCGAGCGTATCTTTGCGCGTCGTTTTGTGAACCCCGTAGTCCCGCAATATCACGTTGACGTCTGTCGCCATTTCCTCGCACGGAGGAGAGACCGTCCGTTTATTTTGCAAGGTAATTTGCCCGCTGCCGTCTTTTCCGCGCCTCGCCCGGCACCTACCGCGATTTTTCTCGCGCCGGCCGCGAGCGCGCTTTTTCGCGAGCGAGACTCGGAAAATAACGCGGCGGGATTAAACGCGCGTCGCGTCGCGAAGTGCATCTGTCGCGAGTGCATATAGAGGTGCATACCGTATCTGGCCGTCGTGGCGGACGCGCGATCGCGTCTTGCCGGCCGGCGAGCTGTCGGTGCGTGAGAAGCGCGAGCGCGGAATCCGTGAGGGAAACGTTTCGTGGAAATTGTTTTTCTCGGCGGGAGCCGGCTTTTCTTCTCTCGCGCGTCTTCCGGCCGATGCGGTTACATCGCATCCGAGCCAGCGTTCGCCGTCTGTAATCAACACGCAGAGTGTCATCGATGAACGTGCCGCGCATCGCGACCCGCTCTCTCTCTCGTTTTCCCTCCCCGGTTTACGTCAAACGTAACGAAATATCGCGCGTTTACGGATTTTCAGTCGGTTGTTTATTTTTCTTCTTGGATTTCCTTCCTTCACCTCGCCGACGATTTTCGCTCCAATTCCTCTCCGTCTCTTTCCCTCTCTTTCTTTCTCTTTCTCTCTCTCTTTCTTTCTCGTAGCTTTTGTACGGCGCTTCGTACGTGCATCACCAAGTGCATCGCATAAATCGCGATTGGAGCGAGAACGGATGAACTTGTAATTTTCTGTTGGCTCTTTGTCACCGCTATCTCGGAAAGTCGTACTTTTTCGAGAGATATATGTTCAGTATAAAGATATATCCATTTTTGAGACGAAAATAGTTACAATTATAATCAACAATTTAATTTACTCAAGAAAGTGAATTAATAGTGAAAATAATAATAAGTGTTATAAAAAATAATTTTAACAATGCAGATAATATATATAACTAATAATTATTTTTTGTATTTATTTTTGTTTTAATTTAATTTAATTTAATTCTATACTTTACTCATTTTTAACATCGCATTTTAAAATTACATATATATGTTTTTGTTCTTTTTATTTTATTATCAAGGAAAATGGCAGAAAAGTAAATATTATATAGTTAATGATGTAATTTAAAATTGTAAAAAATATATTATAAAATAATTTTAACATACACACATAGATATTTGCATTTAAGTACATTATAAATATTTTATAGTAAATATAGGATATTGAAATATAATATATAAATTTTAAAAAATCCAATATAATGTGTAACTTTAAAAAAATAATTTATACAAGTATATATTTGTATGCAATATATATTGTATAAAATAATAAAGTATATTTTATAATGAAAATAATTTATATCTAATGTATGTGTATATATATATATATATATATATATATATATATATATATAAAATAAAGAAAACCTTTAATTAATATATTAATTATTATTGTTTCAGCAATGGCAGAAGGAAATGGGGAAATAAAAATGGAAGAAAAGCAAGAAATGGAAAATTTGGAAAGGACAGAAGATTTTAACAAACTTATGCAATATGGACTAGATGAGAAAGTGGCTGCCAAACTGGACGAGATTTATAAAACGGGAAAATTGGCTCATGTTGATCTAGATGAAAGAGCTCTTGACGCTTTAAAAGAATTTCCAGTTGATGGTGCACTAAATGTGCTTACACAATTTCTGGAATCTAATCTAGAACATGTATCTAACAAATCGGCATACCTTTGTGGAGTAATGAAGACATACAGACAGAAGAGTCGTGCAGGTCAAGGAACAGGCACCAGCACAACACCTAAAGCCCCGGATGAGGACAAAATTAAAGTAAAGTTATACAAGTTGATTACGATAATTTAAATTTTTTACAATTGTTTTTGTTATTGTTTAAATGCTTATATAAATGGTATTTTATAATAGTAAAAAATAATTTTAGATGATTCTGGAGAGAACAGGATATCCTTTGGATGTAACTACTGGACAAAGGAAATATGGTGGTCCTCCACCAAATTGGGAAGGCCCAACTCCTGGCACTGGTTGTGAGGTAAATTTAAATAATTTATATGTAAATTTTCTATAATTATATTAATGTTTATAAAATGTAGTTTTATTTTTAAATAATTTTTTATATGTATAAATGTCTCATAAAATATGTCATAAAATTATTTAGATATGTATATATTTTGTGTTTTTTTTAAATAATAAAACTTATGTATATTATATATACAACACGTGTGTGTGTGTGTGTATATATATAATTGTTATTTTTTGAAATTATTACATCAAATATTTTTACGAAAAGGTATTTTGTGGCAAAATTCCAAAAGACATGTATGAAGACGAATTAATTCCGCTATTCGAAAAATGCGGAAAAATATGGGATTTGAGACTGATGATGGACCCCATGTCAGGTTCCAACAGAGGATACGCATTTATCACATTTACTAATAGGGAAGCTGCACAGCAAGCTGTTCGAGAGGTATGTCATATATATTTCTTCAAATTTTTATTATTGTGTAGCTTACTTATGATGTATATATATTTATTTTTTACTTTTTTCCTAGTTATACCGCCATAAATAATTTAAAAATTTTTATTTTTTTATTTTTTAAATTTTTAGAAATGTTACAATATTATTGCTACCGAAATAACGCTCCTTCGAAATGATTAGAAATTAATAGATATCAGTTTTTAAATATTCAACTTTAAATGTTTTATGAGATTTGCAATAATTTCTGATAGTATTAAATAATTAGTGAATATTTTGTTGTGACATATATATATATATATATATATATATATATAATGTATTAATATATAATATTATAAGCTATAATAATAATAATTGATTAATTAATAATATAATAAAATAATATATAAATACATTTATTTTATGTTTCTCTAAGAATATTTTTTTTTCTAGACATTTCGAATGACTTATGTATTCCTATGTGGCTTGTTCTGTATTGTCCATATTTCTTTTTTTTTATAATAGATTTATATGGACATCTTATTATTTTATTCAATCTCTGTATAGCCTTTTTTATATATTAATCTTACATTTCTTTAATATATACAGGGTATCCTGCTTTAAATAACGTATGTGAATATTTTTGAAATTATTGGTAATACCAAAAAAATTTCTAGGAAAATTATATATATATATATATATATGGAGACATAGAAAAAATATGAAGATTAACTTTAGTTTTTTTAATGGAATCATATACTTTGAAATACATTAATTGATGCAGCTCTTCACTATAAAAAAGTATTAGGGTATTTATCAAAAAACTATTAATTGAGATATATCTTAATTCTGATTTTATTATTACAAAATCATACTATAAACAACAGTATGCTATTCATCTGTTTAAAATTGAGGCCTTTTTAGAAGATTGCAAGTAAATCTAGGTTCATTAATATTAAAAAAATATTTTTTTTTAAATATTAATGAGCCTAAATTTACTTGTAATCTTCTAAATGATATCTCAATTCTTTTAAGCATTTCATTGGAAATTTGTTAACATATTTGAAGACTCCTTTACTTTAAATTGTTTGAAGTAAAAGAGTTCTTGTTTGTTGAAGAGTTTTTAGTTCTTTTTTTCTTTTGTAAACTTTATTTTTCAATTAACTTAATAAAAATAATATCAAATTCGGCCATTTTGATAGAAAGTTGATTAACTTATCCAATCTAACGAAAACTTTTCATTTAATGTTTGGGCTGCGGCATTGTTTCGTATTATAATTATATCTGCCTAGTTGTTAAATTGTTTTAGAAACACAATGAAAGTTATATAAATTTTTTTATCATCGGTAAATTTACTTTAAAAAGAAAAAATATTAACTAATACATTTACAATACTATATAACTCAATAATGACTATATGACACTACATAGTAAAGATACTGATATAGAATAGGAATGCTATTGCTAATTATGTTCAGTCTAATATGATGATCATGTTGATTCGCATTTGTTTTCTATTACTATAGTAAAACTTGTTTTGCCAGAAACCAAGACATGAAAAAATATAGATTTTAGAATATTTTATATTTTGTTAAATTTATTGACAATTGAAGTTTATGAACAAAATTTTTATTACTTAGAACTTGATGCACACATACATAATATGTATTAATTTCATATAACTCATTGATTCAAAAAGTTGTGGAGTAAAATTAAGTTTATTTTCAATTTTACAACTATGGAGATTTCTAATTATTGTTGCTGTAATTACAATATTTTATAAATTTGATGACAATCGATGAACATTTCTCATAAATTTTTGTCCATCGTGCATTTTACAATAACAGTATAATATATTTAAATCTTGTCGATTTGAGTATTTTTCATGATACCGTTGTGCCGTTCCTCTGCGATATCTACAATCATTTCTTTCAATATTAAAATTATGTCTAGAATTTTACTTTAAATATAATCTGCTATCTTTAATAATCTCAGAAGCGAATTTTGGAGTTACTAAGATAAGAAAATCTTGAACAATCATTTGAAAGTATCCTACACAATATCATTTGTTTATAAACATTCATATAAGCGTAGATGTTATAGGGTACGCATAAATATATTGAAATCAACGCGCGCGCGAGTATCATATTTCGTAATATAAAATTAAAATATCTTCTAAACTAATGGTTATTTGATAGACATATATTAATATTTTTTTATGGCAAATGAAGAGTTGTATCAATTAATGCATTCAAAAAAAAAAATATATATATATATACACATATATATATATATATATATATATATATATATATATATATATAAAATAAACGATTTCAAAAGAATTGGTCTTCATATATATCCTTCGTATAAAAAAACCATTTATAAATTCTACTTATAAAAACTATTGATTATCAAATTACATCCCCATCAAAATTAAATTTGTACTTGCGATACTTTTCTTTATCACCAATAGTTTTGAAGATATTTGCATGCATCATTTAAAATGGGACACCCTACACACACACTACACAGGGTGTCTCATTTAATTTTTAATGCTCAAATGTCTTAAAAAGATTGAGTTTTTGAAAATAAATGTTTTAAATTCTAAAGTTATTTGATTTCAAGAGGATATATGTATAATGTTGCAATTTTGTTAATTTGATCTTGCATAATCTTTTTCAATATCAATTATGTCAGAGTTTAGATTTTTTTAAATAAATTACTTTTTATTGTATATTCAACGTCAAGATATTCTTAAAAATAAAATTTCTTTTTATTTAAGTCCTTGAAAACAATTTTGACAAAATGAAATAAGAGTACTAGTTTTTTTTAGAAAAAGATGTGAAAAAAATCTAAAATATTTTAAATTGAAAATATTTAAAAATAAAAGATCTATTTATTGACTTTGAAATTTTGTAAAAAGGCTTATAGACAATTTGATTGTCCAATGTGATATCCAAAAATGTATTGTTTTTTTAAAGACCTTTATCTCACATAAAAATAATTATAAATTATTAAAATTTACAAAATGATATAAAAGTTATTTAAGAAAAATATTTCACAAATTTTAACTTTAAAGACAAATATTTCAATAAAGATATTATAAAACATTGTAAAGCAAAATGTTTTTCTTATTTTGATCTAGACTATAATATATTCAAATTCGGAGAGGGACATCTTTCCTAAGATTAACATTGCCCTTAAAACTAAATAACTTTTGTTTGAAACATTTGTTAAAAAAAAAAATCCAATTTATTAAGATATTTGAGTGTCGAAAATAAAATGCAAGACATACATTGTATCTGAATGTGTGCTACGTATGTGTGAGTTGTGTGCGCGCGCATATGTGTTAAGTATGTATACATGCATGTGCATATACATACAAATGTATAATTATATGTACACATATGTATATATGTTGCACATATGGACGTGTGCGCGCGCGCGCGAGTGTATGCATTTAGCTAATTGTAAGAACAATCCACATAATGTATGTTTTATATGCATATGTCCCTGTCTATTTATTCGTGTTTACGCAGTTATATATATCCAACTGATCCCGAATATTTAATAACATTGAAAAATATATATTAATGATGTCCTATGGATGAGTTTCTTTTTCCAGCTCTCCTCTTTGCTCAGTGGGCAAAATTGGGAGTGGAGAACCTTTCCGAAAAAGACAATGATTGTGTGGTTTAATTGGTTAGGGGTATATTTGTCTAATTGGTTAATTCTTATTAGACAGTGACAATTTTCGTAACAAAATTTTGGAAAATGTTAGGCTTAAAATTTATTTACAGGAATACATGATACGTGAAAGGCCGGTTTCCTATATTGTGAAGATTCGAGCGACAAAGCCATGCCACTTTCTCGCTTTCGTGGATCCACACTATATTATTAATAATGATTGTATATTCTAAATTGAAAATTTAAAAAAAAATTTTTTTTTCAAATTTTGCCGTAATTATCTTAAAAATTACGAAACTGCCTCATTGGAACAAAATTAGGCATGTGTATGTTTTCTTCATCCCACAGCTCGATAATCACGAAATAAAACCCGGCAAGAGTCTGAAAGTAAACATTAGTGTTCCTAATCTACGACTTTTCGTGGGAAACATACCAAAGTCAAAAGGCAAAGAGGAGATCTTGGAGGAATTTGGTAAATTAACAGGTAAAGTGAATTCGAGGCGTGTGTACCTACCTACCTATTACCTACCTGTCTACCTGTATTGTATAACTTAAGAGTGGTAGTGTTTAAGTAGTGGTTGTAGATGGTATGGAACTATGGAGCATCCAAGGATCATATTGACTCCATAATCTGCGAATACACCTTATGGCACCTTTAGTTCTGGTCTCCTTGCCTCTCGGTTTATTAGTGAACAGTAACACCTCTCTGGTCCAAGTCTTCTTTTCCTCACATATATTTAGGTTGAGTTATGAATTTATCTGCTTCCTACTCTTTACATGCGATTATCTTATTATCCCCGTGCTTCCTTATTCCTTGATTTTATGTAACTGATCACTCAATCTTTATTACTGATACTCTTCTTCGTCTTCTTTTTTTTTATTTTAAAGGTGAAAAAGAAAAACGAGGAAATGGAAAGAGAATGTGGAAGTTATATACTTTTAGATTGTTTTACATACACACATATAATTGACAGAAAAATATATGCTGTCTTGCATCATTGCAACTTTGCAATATGCAAATGTGATTCATGACTAAGTCTTAAGCTTTGGGGGTATGGGAGATTTGCGTGGACCGCTGGGGCGTTTGGCTCGCTAACAAACGGACAGGCACTCCCACCCACTCTTCTACGATATCGATCCTAAAACTATCATATGATCCACATGATCCTTTGAGAATCAACTTTTGATACTCTTATGTACTCCCTCCCCCCTTTAAAAGACGCTTCATGAAATCCCATGTTCAGGCAGCCAATAAGCAGGTGAAATCATAAATGGCAAGCTTAATTGGCACTCTCCTTCCACATTATTCTTACAGCTGAATGATTATGAGATTCGGAAAGGGAAAAAGATTGGTGTTACCGTATCATATAACAATCATCGCTTGTTTGTGGGAAATATTCCAAAGAATCGAGACCGAGATGACTTGTTCGAAGAGTTTACAAAGCACGCACGTAAGTTGACAATTGTCCTTAAATCAGCGAGCAGTAACCAATGGAAGTTCTATGGGAAGATGATGAAACAAAAATTTCTTATAACGAATCACGTGTTTTTTAGCAGAGACTTGCCAGGTGGGTTAAATCCAACCCTCTTGCATAAATGTGAAAAAATCTTGTAATAAATATTCGGAAAAACGAAAACTTTTATTATACATTTTCGGAGATTATCAAATATTTGGTAACACTGACGAATTTGTTTCTATATAAGCTAAATGTGAACTCTTCATCGTGATTTTTTTATTTTTATTTCTAATTATTTTCATTTGTAAAATTTGTACCGTTGCAATAAGTAGATAATTGTAATTGTGTATAATTGTATTCTACAACTAAATGAATTTACACACTATAATTCTATTTGAATCATTTATCTGGGATATTTTTTTTTAAATTTTGTAGTATATACAATATGTAATACAAATTTTTATATTTTATACTTGTAAGAAATTATAGGTATATCTGACTTTAAGTCACAAATTTCAAAGTTGGAGAGCAAATATAATTTGATAGTAAGCATTATCATTTTATGTAATTCTTTCATTTGTACATATTTATGGAAAAAAATTTTTTTAAATTTATTTTTTATATATTATATTAATGTTTATTTTTTATATTAATATTTTGAGAGAGAGAGATATATATATATATTAAACTACAATATATTAAACATATAAATATCATAGAAATATAATCGCATTTCATGAATGAATAAATGTAAATTTATTATGACATCTTCAGATAATTAATTTAATATAAAAGAAACACTGTGTGTAAATTTGAAAAAAAGAGAATGGTCAGTGTGATTGAACGAATGTGTCTGATAATCATTACATTTTGTATGTGTTGGGGGGCATAAGATTCTTGCATGTAACATCAGAATATGGACACAGAGAGGAGATTAGTGGAAGAGAATAACAATGATAAAGACAAACGTCATTATTAAATTGATGAGGCACAGGAATAATATTTAGGAGTTAATTTTAAGAGAACAATTCATACAATGGCACAAGGCATCTAAATATTTTGTTATTATATATCATATGTAATATAATAAGTGGAAGAAAGTTAATGCATTATTATTACAATTTTTGCCAATGTATCAATACGATTAAATAATTATAAGGAATTTTAAAGTATATTATATATATTTAGTAAGTTTAATATATATGAAACTAGTGATTTGTTGTTTGGATTTATTATTAGTAGTATATATATTTATTATTAGTAATATGAATCAGATGCCTTGTTATCCAAATAGCTTCTAAACTGAGAGGAAGGAGAGAAGGACTGTTGCTGAGAAATAAATTAAGAGAAATAAAAGTTTTCTCTTGGAAATTGTCAAATTGCTTATATTTGACAATTTCATAATATTATTGGAGAGGATATATCAATACATTAAAATGAGATCAGAGAGAGCAGAAAATACGAACGATATATTGCTACATCTCAGGATTAGAAGACAGAGAATAATATATAATATTAGATTGTCAATCTTTGCTCTATATATGATCGAGTTATTGCATGAGAATTCTAATAGCATGAGAATTCTACTTAATAATAGTATTTATATGTCTTGAAATGATTAATCTTCAATTTTTTCAAACATCCAGATTCAGTAAAAGTAAAAGAAGGTTTTAAACATATGTATATCAAAAGAGTGTTTTACAGAATTTAGAGCTTTCAATCTTTCTCTTTGTAGTTATTAATAACATCTTTGCATTTTTTCTGTTCTTTTAATCTTGGTTATCTATAGCTTTTTATTCGAAATTTTATTGTGACACAATTTTATTGCAAGCAGTTGGTGAAGTAATATCTCTTTATTTTTATTCATTTTATGTTCAATCTTTGGATAGTTATTTTATCAGTAAAACTTTCTTTGATTAATTTCTCTTTTAATTTGTTTATCTTTTTTTTAAGACTTTGTGTTAATTATATTAAGTATATTAGTTTTTAAAACATGTGCAAGAATATACATATATATATATATATATATATATATATATATATATATATGTATATATATATATATGTATATAATTTAATATTTCCAAACAAAATTAAAATATTAATAACTTAAAAAAAAACTTAAGAAAATAAACTGACACAATCTCGTATTTTGAAGATACATATAATTAAATAATATATAAATAGTATATATCTTAAAATTTTACTATAAAATATCTTACATATCTTGAATAATGTAATATTTGGTTGATGCAATCTTTCATTTTTATCTTTAATTTACCGATGGGCAACACTTTTTCTATTATACAGAAGGAAACATAAAAGTATAATTGTTGGAAATAGTTAGAAAAATTATTGATTATAATATTTCTATTTTTATAATAGAATTTTTATAATATGAATAAATTATTATTATCAGTCAAAATATAATAACTTCATTTAAAATGAATATTGAATAATAAATTTAATTCTGATATATATTAATAAATATTTAAGAATATTCAAGACAATATAATGATATATATTTATAAATACTTAAGAATATATTAATAAATATTTAAGAATATTCAAGATAAAATGATTAATGTATCTACAACGAGATGCAAATTTCTGGCTTACGTTAACCATCGTATGTGAAAACATAATAGTTTGTTTAGATATCTATATTTTGTTTTTACAAAGAGAGTTTCCATTCTTTATTACATAGTAGCAATCCTTAAAATCTCGTGATTGCCGATCAAATTTCGAGTGAATCTCATCCGCTTCTCGTATGATTCTTTTTCCGATATATAGCTGGCCTGACGGAGGTGATTATCTACAGCTCACCAGATGACAAAAAGAAGAATAGAGGTTTTTGCTTTTTGGAATATGAATCTCACAAAGCAGCTTCCTTAGCCAAGCGAAGGTTGAGTACTGGACGTATCAAGGTTTGGGGATGTGATATTATTGTTGATTGGGCCGATCCTCAAGAGGAACCAGATGAACAGACTATGTCCAAAGTAGAGTGATATTAAGTTTGATTATTTTTATTATATTTTATTATGATTATTTTATTTGTTATTCTATAGTCTAATTTTATTGGTTACGCTACAAGTTAAAATACAAATTCTAATTCAAATTATTCTGTTTTAGGTACGTGTGCTCTATGTACGAAATTTAACGCAAGATTGTTCTGAGGAGAAGTTGAAAGAAAGCTTCGAACAATATGGTAAAATTGAGCGAGTGAAGAAAATCAAGGATTACGCCTTTATACATTTTGAAGATAGAGATAATGCTGTTAAAGTAAGATATATTTTAATGTAATATTATTTCTGATTTATAATAATTCTACTATATTAAAAATTCATTTTTAATATAAATTGTTAATATACTTATATGCTTCCTTTTCAAGGCAATGAACGAATTAAACGGCAAAGAAATGGGTGGATCTCACATAGAAGTCTCGTTGGCGAAACCACCATCTGATAAAAAGAAGAAAGAAGAAATGTTGCGCGCTAGAGAGAGACGAATGATGCAAATGTTACAAGGTAGAGGCGGGTAAGCTATCGATTTTGATATTTATTATTTATATAACTTTGATATTTATTTTTTATTATTCACAGCATCTTTTTCATCATATTATTTTTCATTATATTATTTTTATTGCTCTATTTCATGTTTTTGTTTATGGAAATCTAAATCATGATGTTATGTAGTTTTCCTTTTGATAGTGGATCTCCATCTCATCCGAGTATGATGGGTGGACCAATGCCAGTTCGTGGACCTGCACAGGGACCTCGGGGAACCGGTGCAGGTATGCGTGGACAAATGGGACGAGGCGATTATGGTTAGTATTCATTTTCTTTTCTTCTTTTTTTTGTTGTTCATTGTTTCGCATATTTCTCAAAAATATATTCTTGCGATTTTGATTTTCATGGCAAAATGAAAATTTTAGTAATTCTTTATAAATGTCACACACATACACACACACATTTATATGTATGAATATAATGAATATATATGTGTTTTTGTTCCGCTCGATTGATAACAAAATTTCTATGTTTAAATATCAAATATTTCATACAGATTTGAAATATGTATGTATGTATGTAGTATGTATGTATGTATGTATGTATGTATATATATATGTATGTACGTATGTATGTCTAGAGCTCGAAATATCAAGGCATTTATTCGCTCGTTAATTACCCATGTATTACATGGATAAGTATCGATTTTGCGAGTACTCTCACCTGTTATGACATTATTTTTAGTAGATTATTAATTTAAAAAAAAATGTTACAACTATAAACATATATCTTTATATCGTTATAACAATGTACAAAAAAATTAGTTTGCTGAATATTATTTAGGACTGATTTATTCACATAGTCATTAATTAAATTAAAAAATTTATAAATATGAAGTATTTTTATTATATAAAATATTCACAGAATATATTAGTTTTTACTCGTGCAAAACGGATAACAGGTGATTGTTTATTCCTCATGTTATCTGATTTCTCTCTTTTCGAGCTTTAATGCATGTTCTTTATTTAATAATACAAATTGATACAATTTCATTCTTATAGTTACGTTTTGTCAAACTTCGATTAATGTAATTGTTAATTAACTTTTAGTATGATTAACAACAAATTTTCTATTATATTATATACAATAATTATATCAATGAAAATTTTGTATAAAATGTTGATCATTCTGCAGGTTAGTAACAATAATTAAATCAAGTTTTTGTCAAAGTGACTAAGAAACGAATTATATCAATTTGTGTCATTAAATAGGAAGGGGAAAAACATTTAATGTATACACACAATAGAGTCTCCTTAACTTTCATGCTATTAATTATGATACTCCTTTTTATATATGTACTTTCACGAACATTGCGTTTGCGTATCATAATATGAACAAATCATATCGATGGTATGCGCAAATGACAATTCGATGTTTGCTTTCCGAAAATATTCCGTTCTTATCTTCCCAGAAGTCCAAAAATTGATGAGACTTTACTGTATGTATTTAGCGCGGAGAAAAGGTAATGGAACGTTCTGATATTTTAAAAACTATGGATTGGAAACAAATACAAAAATTATAGGCCGGAATGGATTTGAAATCATTATTATATGATAATGTTAATATGATCTTGCGTTGTCAAGGCAAAAGATATCTAGAATTTTAAATAGAAACTTTTATTTTTCATTAGAAATTTTTATGTAGCTTATGTTTTCTTGAAAGAGATGTTTTTTTAAAATGACAAAATAATATAATTAAAATGATATAATTAAACTTTTTTAGATCAAACCGTTTTTAGTATATTGCCGGTATTAGCGATAAGTCTTAAAACCGAAAAAATAAAATCTTTGAGTATTCTCCTTTTTTTTTCTAAGACAATGCGATCATCAATTTAAAAGTAATCAAGTCTGATTTCTATCTAGTCTGTTTAAACAAATTTTGCCAAATAGCAAAATGTTACAAAATGTTGTCAGCAAAAAAATTATAAGTTTAATGTAGGAATCTGTTATTTCAGCAGATTAAAACATTCCGTTACTTTTTCTCTTAACCGTGTATATATTTATACACATTCATGCGCGTGCGTGTGCACATACAAGATGTGCCAAAACTACCGAATGTTTTTTTAATAAAATTCTCTGATTAATTCAAAGATATTTTTTTTAGTGAAAATATTGAGATATTAATCATTTTTAAATTATAAATGATGGATAAAGAAGGATTATTCTCAAATTAAATTTTGTGGAGAGTTAAAATATTAACACAACTATTATTCGATTAATTTTGAAATTTACTTTAAAAGAATTTTAATTCAAGGTTGTTTACAAAAATATATGACAAATTAGAAATTTGCAAAATATGATAATCTCATTTAACATTTTCGATGAAGAAAAATAATTTCTAAATTAGCTAGAGAATTTATTACTAAAAAAACATTCGGTTATTTTGGGACATCTTGTATACGTATATGTATGGATGTGCAGGATGTCGTTATAAATGATTACCCCTTTCTATTTTTTAAACTAAAAGTAATAGACCATAATACAAACAGACACGCACATACACGTACACACACAGATTGTTTCATAAAAATTATGCCAATGCTCGTGAGGGAGCAAGGTGGAGAGTAGTAAATTAAATAAAAAAATTCTTTATCATTTTGTAATTGTTACAATAATTATTGAAATATTAATTTTAAAACATTGGCTAATAAGCGCGCGTTTCACACTTTTTTTAAGTGTCAGTATGTGAGTGACATACGGCAACGAAAAAACAAGAGTCGATATACGCACGATTAAATATGTGGCTAGATCATAGGATGGTACATGTTTTAAGCGTGTAACATTCGCCACTAGTATGTCTAGAGCATTGGCACAATCTTTATGAAACATCTTGTATATATATGTTATGTCTATTTTCCTTAATTTAAAAGACAAAAGAAAGTGTTAGTAAAATATCCTGTATATACACATGCAGAGAATGTCTTGAACATTACAGGAAAAAATATTTTAAAATTTTTCGATTTATTTTTCACCAAAAAATAGCTATGTATTTAATGAGCGCAAGTTAATTAATATATGCAGGATGCTCGATTTAATCTGTCTAATAACATATGTACAATATCATGCCTTAAATAAAAGAAATGAAAATAAAGAAAGTTAATGGAATAGCTTGTGAGTAAGTTTGAGTCGAATCATTTACGAAAATTGCTATGGGAGATGGAAGGAATAGAGTTTGATTCTCAATTCACTTGCGCCTTACATAATTTTCTAGCCAGTAAATATTATTTTTTTATTTATTAAGTTGAAAAATATGCAAATGTCTTATACAGATACATCAATGCCTTTACTACAAATGAATTGCTACGAATATGTCTAGACTTCGAGTGTCTTCTGCCATCTTAAAATTCCTCTTCTCTTCATTCATAAGAGTTGAGCCAAACGAGTCATGTAATTTTTGTAGTATGTTTCCATTTGAGAAATTCGTTCGAAATTGTCCATGAGCTATTTCATTTTCTCATTTTTATTTTTAAGGTATTATATTTCATATACTATCAAATTAAATCGATCGAACATCCTGTATGTATGTGTGTATACACCTACACACGCACAGATTATATTTTTTAAATGCATGTTACATCGTAAAAGATTTCGTACGATATTAAAAAATTGATGATTTATTATTTTTATTAAGATATATATTTTGCTGTTAAAATTTTTAACGTGTAACATGTTTAATTTTTATTAATACATAGCTCTTATTTGCAGAGAAAGAATAAAAAATGCAAATGTTATAATCTTTTCAATTAGTCTTTTAAATTAATAAATTTTAAAATTTTTAAATAATTTTTTTTAATATATTGAGTTTTATATTTCAAATAAAAAAATATGCTATTGAATAATTTTATAGTATCTTTAATATAATTTTCATATAATATTGATATCTCTCGCATGTTTTTGGAAATTTTTCAAAACTATCTCATTATATATTTATCTTACGCGCATGATAGGCTACTTTGAATGTGTGAGCAAAAGATATATATAGTTATTGAATATTTTTACATTTTATGTGATAGTTTTCTCTTATAATCTTTATTTTCTTGATTTTGAAAATTTCTTTTGTTACGTTTTTCTTATATTTTTATTGTAGTAACATTTGATATAAAAAAGATAAATTAATTTAGTAATAATTGTTAATTTTTTAATTTGTAATATAATACATTTGATATGTGTTCTCAGAAAATATTCCATTTTTCTTAAATCAGTAAACTAATAAAATTATATTTAAATAAATTGATATAAAAAAATTATGTTACAAGAATATATAAATTATTTTTGCTTTGTTAAAGTATATATATCAAGAATTTCTCATTTCACAAGATTATAAAATAAGAGAGTACTCAATTTAGATCAAATCGATGTAAATTGATGTATAATAGCATTTTTTTGCCATTTAATGTAACATTGATTCTAATTGCTAATTTTAGAATTAATAGTAAGAATTAATTTTAGAATTAATAGTTGTGTAATTGTGTGTGCATGTGTGTGAACGTGCTAGATGTATGCGTAGCATTGTAACACAAACATCTTGTTGCCTTACCACTATTGCCTTCTGTGTGACATGTGTTTTTTTTGTTTTTAACAAAAGTTAATTGCATGTATATTCATTTGTTTTGTTTTTTTTTATTTTGGTGCTCTGAGAATTATAGTGACAATTGTTTTGCACGGAGTTGCAATAACATGCATTAGTAGGAAAATTTTTGTATAATTTTTATCTTGTTTCTGTTTTTGTGAGCGTGTTTTTGTATCGTTGTTTCGCATATTTTGTGCAATGCATCATCAATTCAAAAATCTGTTTACAGCTCTCAAGGAAATAGGTAAGCCGCGATAATGAATAGTGAATGTAGAGTATCATATGTAGTCCTGTATATTTTTTTCCGTTTGATCATTAATGCCTTTTTTATTATCAAATTTAAATACATATTGAGCGATGTTGAAATTGAATTTCCTCCAATGTAAAAATGTAAACTCTCTCTCTATGAAATTTATAAGTTTTTTGACGATTTTTTTACGACTTATTATATATTAAATATCTTTGAGAAATTGTACTATTAATAAAAATATAAATTTTTTCTTGTTTTTCTCTAAAAAAGATTAAGAGTAATATGAGCCGTTAGGCACAGATGCACATGTTAGAAAATATGCAATTTTAGTTTTAGAAAATAAGAAGATTGTTATCAGTTATTTGTTTTAAGAAGATTGTTATCAGTTGTTATAATAGCAACATGTTAAAAATTAAGGGATAGATACATAAATAAATAGATGATTCAAAGAACTTATCTAATTTCGTTAGAATTATAATCACGGATTCAAACCCGTAAATATTAATTTTAAAAAATGTAATAAAGCAAACTGTAAATTATTTCTAACTATTACAGTTAATTGATTACATCAACAATCGTCATATTCAGCCAAGAAACTAACAAGAAACTAAGATAATCGGTGGGTGAGAAAGTCGTCCGATGATGTACTTTAGCATTATCTCTAGAAACTGGCAATTAAACTTTTGTCGCGCTAATAAGATTAAAATTAGTTATTGCTCGGTAACAATAAATTATCTTTTAATTAAATAATAATTAGTGTTCAATTGTCAATTTCATTCAGAAAAACTTAAAAATCGAAATTAATCCCATCCATAGAATATCTGGAAGATCCTATGGAAGGTGGATTTTGAGTACCTTGTAGTATGGATATCTGTGCTTGACGATTCGTATTTATATCTTTATTTTGGCATTATGTGATTGATATATTTTGTTTATAGTATAACACGTGTGCGAATTAAAAAATGAGAATTTTAGGATTTACCACAAATTAAATAGTATTATCGAATTATATTATTTTTCTAAATTTAATAATAAACATTTGAAAGTTTTTTTGTATTTGTTTTAATGTAATTATATTTAAATATTTTATAATCAGATTTTATAAAATAAATTAAATATTATATGTATTTGGAGTGAAATTTTCAAGTAATCTTATAACTTCTATCTCAAGAAATATGATGGTGGTAGGATAATCAAAATATATAGTTATCCGTGTGGTATTATGTAATTGTAAGGGATAATGAATATTATTATCATATAATTATGTCTTTTATTTGCTGAAATTATATTTTTTTCACACGAATTATTTTACTTAAATATGATTAAATTTGTTTTTATTTTCCTTTCTCTTTTGTTTTGTTAATTATTGGTATTTTCAAAATTATCTTTTCCCGGCATGCCTTTTTTATAATATTGAAATAGTATTATTTTAGTAAGTTGCTAATTGGATATATCGTGGCTAAATTTGGGTCTATTTGTAATGTGTGTTTTTATAGATTATGATTACGACTATTACGGTTATGGGGATTATCGAGGTGGCTACAGTGATCCCTATTACGATGACTATTATCGATACGAAGATTACTATTTCGATTATGCACCGCCTCCGCCGCCTGCCAGAGGGAGAGGCAGGCAGCCTCAACCGGTGGGTCGCCTTTTTTCATGGTTCTAAAATGTCATTTTTGTTTCTGAAATTATATATAATTATTTTTTTATACATATTAGCGGTAGTTTGATTGTGGCACAGTGTTCGCGGATTCTCCTAATATGTTATACATATTTCCAATATACTTTTGCCTAGATCACTTTCTGCCTATATATTTTCTTTACTTAAGCGTGCAAATTAACTGACTATGTGCTAACTCATTATGATTATTATTAATGTGCAAAAAATTGCGCATTTTTAATGTGTATTAATGTCATAATATTGTTAAATACATCGCATTCACAGTATACAAATAGCATTCATCCAAATTTGAGAGTTTTACAATTGTATGTATGTCTGAGAGAAAGAGAGAGAGAGAGACAGAGAAAATAAGTAAGTGTATGGATGACTAAGTGAGCGAGTTATCGAACGAATGAATGAATAAAATGAGTAAGCAAGCAAATGAGCGAGTGAATGAATAAATGAGCGAAAGAGTGAATGAATGAATGTGAATGAATGCTGTTTAAAGTATACTGTGATGTATTGTATTTATATGGAGATTGGCACACAACACACATACACACACACACACACACACACACAGAGTCACGCACGCACGCATGTATACACGCATGCACGCACAAATCCTACATGTATACTATACTATACTGATTAACGCCAGTGCTTTAATACTAAGAGATCCCTTAAATCCGAACACGTTGCCACTTTCAAATTGCTTGCAAATCATATCTGAGCCATGGTAGACCCATTCTAAATTTTCAAGCAAGATACAGCCGGGAAAAGCAATTTATTAATAAATAAATTTAAAAAAAGAAGGAAAAGAAAAGAGAAAATACAGAATATAAACGAAAGTTTTAAATTACCCGAAAATTCTCTGAAGGAAGAAGATAGCACATTTTTATATTGTTGCAGGATTTCCTAATCTTACTTTTCTCTCACTGCTACTCTAGCACAGTTTCAGGAAAACTCCAGATGTAGGCAGAAAGCAGCGTACAGGACTTTCTCTCTTTCACTCATTCATTCACACAAACACACAAATATATACATATATACATATATATATATATATATATATATATATATATATATATATAATCTATATACGAGCAATTCACTATTTTTTCTTCCTGTAGAGCGACGTTGCGTCTCGTGGCTCGGATATGATATTTTTTTCTATGTCAAGTTACAGGGTTATCCAAATATGACGTAGAAGAGTATATAGGTGCAAGGCGCAAAATTTTTTTATCATTATTTTTACCACAATATTTATATTGCGATCAACTCTCTCTTTCTCTCTTGTTAATGTTTCATTACATTATAATACTACAATAACTCAGTTTTATTATATATCATATCTAGTACTTATGCTTCCTGTATCATGATATGATATATACGTCGTAGTTGATCATCGCTTTAGAGGACAAACAAACAAGAAGAATCTTTTTCAAATTGTCAAAATGCTTTGACATTATTTTGTATGTTTCGATAATTATTTCGCTTTTTATTACTTTTTTACTTTCTGACGTACTGCCGATTATATCCAACAAATTGTGTTCGTTTTTTCAAAAAGTAGATTAATTTTTCCAAATATGTTCTTAACGATCTATATTTTTACGTTGCTTAAACTCATACAATATGATTTTATTCATGTCATACATTTTTTCTATATGTACTCTTTGATTCTTTTTCTCTCACGATTTTTTAAATCGTTCACATTTTTTCGCTATATCTGTATAGCATTATTAATTTTTCTTCTAATCAAAGATAGAGACAATTAATTTTTTCAAATATGTTCTTAACAATCTATATTTTTACGTTGTTTAAACTCATACAATATGATTTTATTCATGTCATACATTTTTTCTATATGTACTCTTCGATTCGTTTTCTCTCACGATTTTTTAAATCGTTTACATTTTTTCGCTATATCCCTATAGCATTATCAATTTTTCTTCTAATCAAAGATAGAGACAATTCTCTTCTTATTTAAACAAATTTTATCAAATATGCCAAATATGTTCTACAAGTTTGAAAAAATGGAACTAGAATATATCTTACTTAGCATGACTATCTAAAATATCTGTTGTTTTTAATAAGAACATTTTTTTAGAAAGAAATACAGTTTGAAAGAAATATACTTTGATTTGAAGGGACATCAATTTTTTAATGAAATCATACACTTATTATCTCATATATTCATTACTCGTATATTATTATTAATATCATTGTAGCAAACATCGAAAAAAATTCATTAATAAGGGAAACATTAAACAGTCCCATGGTAATCTCTTTCTATTGGACTGATTTTAATATATGTTAATCTTATTCTTTCACTAATCTATAGTAAAATAATAGAACTCAACTTTCAAATATTCGCGAGAAAAACGCGTTTAAAAATTCACGAAATGTTTATATATCAAGTTGTATGAAGAGATTTGCAGGTAAACGGTGTAGTAATTAAAATATTCAATTGCTACATATTGCTTTTTATTTGTTGAAATTATTCATATAAAAAATGTTTTTCGATATCTCGCATAATTTTCGAAATATATCAAGAAAAGTAAAAAGTCACTACATATGAGGAATGGCGAAACCATCCCTTTATAAAATTGTTTTTGCAGTAATTGAAGATTTTTAAATTCTTTTATTTATCCCCTCCTTCTTACATATGTATAAAATTTCATCAAAGTGAGAATTTCACGAGTTGTTAGTCACTAGACTACAAGTCTCTTTTTACAATCTTTTTCTTATCTGCAAATTTCTCTTTACAATTCGCTATATAAATACCTCATAAAATTTTAAACGCATTTTTTTCATGAATACTTGAAAGTTGAGTCCTATCATTTTACTATGGATTAGTAGGAGAAAGAATTATAGCATATATTAAAATCAATCAAATCGAAGGAGGCCATATCTAGTGTTCTCCTTATAAGATAATAATATGCTTTTCAAATAATCTTGAATACGAAATTTAAAGCAGTTTTTGACAAGCAATTTTAATTTATTATTTACCAAAATCGTATTTTGATTTCGAAATAAGCTAATAGCAATGTGATTATATTTTAGTTTAGTATATTGTATTTGAAGAATAAGAAAAATGATATATTTTTCTGGACTTTACAGCAATATGTTGAACAGCGATTATTTTAGAGATCGTGTATTGTGATGGCTTAAATTTTTAGGAGTTTGACAATAAATAATTCTAGTTGATTTTGTGTTAGATATAAATTTTAGATTAAATTTGTTTTCAAAAGATGAAAAAATTTAATAAGCTTTTAAATTAATTATTTTAAATTAATTATTTTAAAGTGGTAATTCCGTAGATTAAATGATATGTTTTAATGGACCAATATACAAAAATATCTTTTTTTTTAAATTTTGAGGTTTATTCAAAAATATCTTATTTAAAAAAAAATGACGCATGTGTAACATGCTTTGTAACATTCTGATCATTAAAAACGACAGATATTTTAGATGATCATTAAATGTACAAACAACAATCATATGCATCATCTTTTTCAATTCAATTTTTTACAAGACCATAAAAGTGCATCCAAAGGAGTATAGATGTACTCATACGTTCTTATATATTATATTAACATATTTTATATTTAGATAAACAATCGCGTGGCGTACGCTATATACATTTACACATACACATACACATACAATATATATAAAATTCAACTTAATGTACTCTGATTTACCTAAAACAGGAGGAGAAGTTTGTCGCAAATTATAAACAACACTGTCTGAATGATTAAGGAATGATGCCATGTGAATACAATTTATTCACAAATGGTTTATTGTACATGTATATTGTGCCTAATTATGCTTTATTATCATTTGTAAATTATTGTGAATTGTATATAGGTAAAGACCACGAAGATAGATGACGAGGAATAGAAGGATTTTTTCCCTCGTATATAGCACCACCAGTAAACACATCTCACAACTCTTGCTTTGGCTCTCGCCGTTTCCCATACCCATGTATATAAAATAATATCATAGCTTCCATGCTTAAATCAGATTTTTTTAATCGCTTAATAATGTGTTACGCTACTTATTTATATAATATGCCTTTTGGTTGAATTTTGTTTTAGCTACCAGTGCAATAGCTTGTGTCGCTTAAAAGTTCCTACGCCAACCAATCAGTTCGCTTTTCGCTTTACTACATTGGATAACTCTGCTAACTCCTACTGCTGTATGTAAAAACGTGGTTAGTAAAGATTTGGTTATAGGATCTATCTCTTTTGCCGCGTTTCTTCCCGCTTTCTCTTTTCCGCTTTGTTATTTCCGCTTTGTCTTTTCGCTTTCTTTTTTGTCTCTTTTTTTTCCCTCTTTGTCTTCCACATTGTCCAGTATCTTTTTTTCTCTGTTACTTCACTTAAGCTCTTCTCTCATGCTATGTTCATAATGTGTATATAAAAACCTTGTATGTATGTACATATGTGTACATCTTTAAATATATGAAATAGGTTAATATGTGTAGAAAATATTTCGATCAGCGATATATCGACTAATTTTTTTATTTATCTCATATGTTAATACAATTATTAGCAACATCTTTAAGGGCCACTACTGCGAAATATGCCTAATTACATATAAGACAGAGGAAATAATAACAAAAGAATGAAAGATAATTAAAATGCAGATATATGCAAACAATTATGTAATTAGATAGGGTAACAGTTTGGGTGTGTGTTTATTGGTCAGGCTGGTCGTGGCCGTGGAGTAGTGCCACGTGGCCGAATCGGTGGCCCGCAAGCCCGTGGGCCAGTCAGGGGGGGACGCAACCCCGCAGCTTCAGGGGTCCGTGGGGTCCAGCGGCTGGCCGCTCGTGGGGGGGTCCGCGCCAAGGGAAGTTTACCAGGTGAGGATGGTCTGTATCTCCACAATAAATCATCTTTTACACTATTTACACTTCACTTACATTTTTCCCACTACATATACATATACATATACATATACATATACATATACATATACACTTACTATTCTGAATTCATTGAAATACATTTTACGTGTGAAAGTTTGCATTGACATCATTGTGTCTGTAACTATCGTTATATAAAAATTTGTTGTATTAATGATGGAATTCTTTAAACATCAATGATGAAGCTCTCCAGAAAATGTAAAAAAATGATCATTGTTCAGATATATAGAAACAGTCGGTTGTTCAAATATTAGATCTTATATAGATATTATTTTGTTAATTCAATTTTCATAGTTTTAGGGAATTAATACAAATATTAAAATGTTAAATTACGATGTTATATAAAGAGTGTTTATTATAATGGTATCTATGAATTTTTTAGCATCAATAGATTAATAGAAAATTATATATATATATAATTATCTTATTATTTACTTCGAACTAGCATATATTTTTTAATATAATTTTTTGTATAAATCTCTTCATAGTTGTATATGTTTTAGTTATAAAAATATTATAGAAAAAAATATTAAATAGATTTATCAAAAAATTAATAATTTACGCGATATTCCAATTTATTTAGATATAACAAGAGATGTACAGAGAATATTTCTCTATTAATTTTTTGATTAATTCTGAAACTTTTATATAAGGAATGATTAAAAGAATCATTTATATAAGGAATAACATCATATAGGGCTATTTTAAAAACTTAAAAAAGAAACATAAATTTTAGATAATTTTATATATATTTTTAATTTATTGCAATATTTACAATTGTGATTATCATATAATAATAAACACTCTCTAATAATGTTACTTTGTTACTAATGTAACTTTTATTAATAAAAAAAAGATATAAATTTTTTTGGTAGTATTGCTTGGCTTTTAGAGTAATGATCATTATTATAAAAGAATTTGTTCTTTTTTTTGGCAAATATACATAAAATTTTTTTGTTGCTATATTATATTGCTATTATAGTACTAGCTGTTACAGATAGCATCATCGCATTATTTAAGTTCTATATAAGTTTCTTTAACGTTAAATATCACTCTTTTCGCTAAAAGGCTTTCTATTAGATATCTATTTTTCTTCTACGAAAAGTTTCTCTGCTCTTTTCCTGTCTCTGTTCTGTAAAAAAAAATCACATATATTGGACACAACATCCGAACAGTGTTTCTAAGCACCATTTTTCTTTTTCTTTTTTGTAAAAAGGGATAGCAGAAAAAAAATTGATAAAAAATTATTCTCTAAATAATTTTTTCCATAGTTGACAATGCATATCAATTTTTTCTGTTATCAATTTTTACAAAAAAAAAAAAAAAAAAAAAATCCCGGACATTATATGTGCGTAATATCGATAAAATTTATTTATCCTTTATTCTTCTATTAACTAAAATATAAAGATAAGTTCCAATTAACCATTATGAAAAGGAGTGATACATTAAATCTGTTATATGATCACCACATGCAGTACTTTTTATATTATTTGGGATATTTAATTATATTTTGATTCTCTCTCTTTTTACAGATTTGCTATTGATAGATATTTTCAGTGAGGTTCTTTAAAAATGTTTATTATTTAGATAATACATAATGATAATTAGTTTATCATATGACTGCACATTCCTCTAGATTATTATGGATTTTTCACGTGTTGTTCACCTTACAGTAAACGATCCAATCCACCTTCCAACCAAGGTATCCGAGTCCCATCTACTTGATTGTAACAGAGCAGTAGGTTAGTTATCCCCTTTTTATAGTATTTGTTCAAGAAGATTTTGCAATTTTATAAAGTCAATGGAATATATTAACTTACGTTTTACGTTATTTAATGTTTCACGAATTGGAGCTTGGTTATCACTATTCGACCGTACATCTTTTGAACACACCTCACCATATACTCATACAAAAAACTCTGAAGCTCTCTCTCTCTTTCATCTTCCTATGTATAATATTTTCCAACGTCACGCACAATGATTAAAAAGGATGTAATCTGTTAATATTTTTTTTTTACATTTTTTCCACGTAAATATTTTATCACGATGGTGATATCTTTTACAGCAGGTAAACGAAAATTTGACGGGGGTCACCAGAACCAGGGGGAATCTAAGCGTCGCTTCCAGAGCAACTGGGGAAACCAGCCCCTCGCCCAACAACCACTGGGCAATGCATACGGATTGGCGAGTGTGAATGGTGGCAGTGGTGGTGGTGGCGGTGACATAAGTTTCGGAAATAGAGCCGGCGCACTCGGCGGTGTTTCTGGTGATGATCACGAATGGTATCAAGACTCTTATCAGTCATGGAGCTAACTTCTGCAAGCTTGTGATGAAAAAATACACACGCACGAACAAATGCATGGTAGGTCGAAGCGAGAAAGAAAAACTAGAGGAAAAGAAAGGAAGTTAACATCAAAAAGGAGAGTGCATGTGTACATGATGAGTGTGTGCGCGCGCGCGAAAAAGAGAGAAGGGGGAAGAAATTCTATAGACGAGGAGAAAGAGAAAATCATCCATTTATATTATTATCGCTCTTAATCAATTCGAATAATTGTAAATGTTTTTTCATATTAATAATACGCAGCAACTGTACTCTGCGCCACCACCATCGCCCACTGTTGTTGTGATTATGTACAGTGATGTGCCACTGAGACTAAATATTACATCGGAGTGTGACCGCCCACTCACCCCGTACTATTATTATTATAATGATAATACTAATCTAAGTACCACTACTGCATTGTCACATTGTTTACTGCCAAGTGATGAAGATCAGTGATGTTGACTTAAGGATTGTGATGGCTTGTATTAGTTAAAAGAACTCATGGAAGCCTGCGGTTTAATACATGATATGATGTTATGAATCTACGTGACGAAGCGTGTGTGTTAGATAAGCTGTGAAAGTAGATAGCATGGAAAAAAAGCAAAAATGTTAGGGAACAAAAGAGAAATAGAGCAGACAAAATTCCCAAGATTGAAGAAGTGAGAAATGTAGTAGGTACGTTAGGCAAACAGAAGGCACAGGGCGAGAATGTGATATTTAGCGAGCATGCGATGATGAATGACCGTCTAAGACGTGTATTTGCAAGAAATGGAGAAAGGGAGTTTTCTTTAAGCGGAATGTGTCTTTGTATGTGTATGTGTGCGTGTGGAGCGTGCCAAGTGCGCTACAAGACCTTCTATTGTTGGTCTATAAACGTGTACAGTCAGTGAAACTATTATTATTAAGAGTCAGGCAAGGTTTCGCGAAAGTAGCGAGTGGTAAAATGTTGCAAGACAACAGTTCTGCTGCGAATGTCTCCCAGATTAAGTTTGATTACAGTCAGGCAAGAATTTTATTAAATAAGACAAAAAAAAGGAGTATTGCTCACTATCGTAAAGAAATCTGTTTGTACAGTAAATTTTTCAATGATATCTCTCCGAATAGCCAAGACAAATTCAGATTCAAATCATAATATATATTTATTTGTTGATGTGTTTCTTTTTTTAATAAGTGAAAAATTAAAAATTGTTCGTTGAAAGCAAATATCAAAGGTAACTCTATTATCTTTAAAGGAGAAGTAAAGAAAGAGAGTGTATTGTTTTTTCTAAATTTTATGTAGAAAGTAAATTTGTTTTTTGTATTCTCTTTTATAAAAATAAGAGAGGAAACGTTTTTAAAGATGACTGACTATGAATTTGATAATGATAGTCACGGATTGAAATAGGATGTAAAATCTAATGTTTACAAATGCATGAACACATACAGCACACATTTTGAGTGTTGACTTGTTGTTATTGTTAGCCTGTTAGTTAATTAGTAAGAGTTGTAAGTGCGGGCTGTAGTTGGTCCCTGTCCCTGGAGCCCAGACACCCCCTGTTCTGGATGATTATTTGAAAAAGGAAAGAAAAAAAAATATATGCAAATAATTTGTATTTTACACGCACCCCTGAAATATGAAAACAAATACGACATAAAGATGAAAAAAAAAAAAGAAAAAAAAGATATTGTAATAACGGAATAACTGCATATCAGTCTCCTGTTTATTGTAATACTACCAAACGAGACGATTACCGCATATATAACAATATATTGGCTCTAAATCGGATTTGATATAACAGTAGAATTGGCGGATATATATATGTAATACAATATGGAGTCTGATTCTACATCGAATTATGCCATAGAGACCGACCAATCACAAATATAAAAGATCGCATATACATCACATTGTAATATGAAATCAGATATAATTTACAGGCTGATACACAATATGTGAAAAAATTACGAAATCATAGATACATTACAGACAAAATGTTTAGATGACGATTGTTTTCCCAATCTCGTATTATGAGCATTTTGTTGATTTTTATTCATATTTTACTTCAGTCTAATTCTTTGTCATCAATACTGTTTTAGTAGCGCGATGAATTTGATTCATTTGAAAGTAATGATTAGACGAAAGAAAAATTCCCTGTTCTTATTGCGATCATTGTTTATATGTCTTGTTTCCAATCGTTGCGATCATTGTTTCGAGAAAAAAGTAAAAGGGAAAAAAATCCGAGCAATTTGTGAAATCGTGGTTCGTATTGATGATCTACTTTTCATTCCTCTCGTACTCCCTTTTTCACCGCCCCTTTTTACTGATTATTCGCTTACCATATTTTATATATCTTTATCTACCTACTCTACTTACCTACACACCCTATTTATGAAAAGCATAATATCGAGGGTATAATAATATTAATATTAACAATATGATAAGGATGATATTGCTAATCATAATTGAGTGGGTTTTTGTGACACACATGATAATATTCCAACATAATAAAAAAAAGTCTGGTTTCTTCTGTGCAAAAAATTGTAATTAATAAAAAGAAATAAGAACATGATAGAAAAAAAATAAAGGAAAAAAAAATAAGGAAAGCAAAAAGATATGTTATATATATTACATATGTATACACATACAAGTACATAGATGCAGAGATACGATTATAAAGAGAGTTCGGCTTGCGGGGGCAAGGAATTATAACTTGGCTAAAGCGGAGACAGTTCACGGTGACGAGATTCTTAGACTGATCTAGGTACTAGTGTTTATCGATAATACCACCCGGCCCTGCTCCGGCAAAAAAGGCGTCCCAAAAATATATTACTGTCGTATCTTTATCCTATTTTTTTTTATCTCCATCTCCCTTTTACGTTTTTCCTTGTCCCATCTTGTATCATCTTCCAATTTTCTTTTATATTTTGATAATTGGTGTGGCAGCTGGGGTGCCTGGGAGAGAGGCGGGGGGGGGTTATCGGTCGCATTTTAGGATATTGCACCACACACACTGTGGCTGACGATGCCGTAGCCGCGTGCGCGCGCCCTTCTTTTTTTATCCGGCCAACGCCCCGATTAATAATAATGATGATAATGATGATGATAATAATAATAATGATGATGATAATGACGATGATGATGAATGATGATTCGCGACATATTTCTGTTTTCTTCGAAACATCATTACATTATTTGGGGCTTATCATGTCGCAGTTGGCCATCTCTCATATGTCGGATGTTGTGTGATCCTTGGGTCGAAACGTTGCGAACATTAATTCAAAGCGGCCCGAAGCACATGTTTTTTTTAATTATATATAAATATATATTATATTTCTGCGAATATATGCATTTTTGTGACGTGATGTTATTTAGCACTAATTAACGAGAAAGAAGGAAATCGTACGATAGTAACGAAGGATTTAATAAGAAAAATACCCGCCCCCAAACCCCCGAAAAGGAAAAAAAAAGATACATGTACATGTTATATTTTTTTGTGCTACGTATCAGCTCCGTAGCTATAAAACAAACGTGCAAAATTATTTTATCGCCAAATTTTTTATAATTATAAATTGTGTTTTTTCGGATTCTTTATTATTCATCTCCTATCTACTAATTGCTTTGCTTTATAATTCCCGCAATTTTTATTTCTCCAAGTTGCCCCTAACTTTAGTGTGAAACGTAGTTAAACATAATGATTAATGATGAATTTAAAAAAGAATGTTATAACATGATTCCTTTTTTCGGGCTAAGAGCTTGATTTGAAGTATCAAAGATTTTTGTGTATGACCAGATGTATTCTACATGTCTCAATAAACAGTTGTATGTGAATTACCTTTCTTAAATCTGTGCTGCATTTTATATATTTCACTACCTTTACTTTTACAGAGTATCTTTTCATATCTTATAAAAAAATTCTCGATCTTCCAGGTATTATTCAAGATCCCAGGTAAATATTTAAAAAATTTTCTTGATGTAGCTTTCAACATAAAAGTGCAACATAAGATTTTTTTAAGGTATTTTCTAATGTGTTACTCATACAAAATACTCACAAGCTTTCTTATTAAAAAGGTGTCTTGAATTTAGATTCGAGAAAGGATAAAAATAAAACTTGTTATTTTTAAAATTTTCGAATTTATCAGGGTTTAAAATTTCTGGAAAGAATTTTCGAATTTTACAATTAATGCTGTTAATCTATAAAGATAAATAGAAATATAAATGAAAACAAATACAAATTAATATTTTGTATAAAGAAAAGTGGGAAATTTCATTCTTTTTTGTTCCATTATAAAAACAAGGTATTATTTTTAGGAAGAATTTTGAAAACCTGTTATTTTCAAACATATTCGTTCTGTCTTCAATAAAAAAAATCAGGTAATTATGGAATTTTATTAGTTCTTGGAGAATTTTTTACAAAATTGATAATTTCGTTAATTTTTATGTTAAATACTTATATTATCGTAAACAACTTTAATTTTTAAATTCTGAAGATTGTATTTTTACTTTAAGAACTTTGATTAAAGTCTTACATGACTTTATAGATTTTATTTTTTATTAACATTTCTTGTATTAGCCCATAGTACAGAAATGGCTGTAGACATTGCAAATCAAATGTTGCAAATAAATTGTGAAACTTTATTCCAGCTTTGCTGTAAAATTATAGTAACATTAAGATGTTTTTTTGCAACGAAACATCATTGCAACATTCCAATATAATATATTTGAAAGAATGCAACTGTCAAGTAATATTAAATAAAATAATTTTATCTCTTATGGATGAATAAATTGGAAATTTATAGAAATATAAAATTTAGTCAAAATTAGACATTTTTGTGTCTTTTAAATTTGATCTATCTTCTTTATAATTAAAGGTCTGTTAACCGTTTATAAAATGTTTAAAAAATGTCTATTAATGTTTTTATTAAAATGTTTATCTCTATTATATAATAATCTATATATAACTATCTTACATGCACTCTAATAGAGATACTTTAATAGATGCAACAAATAGACTATTTCCAATTTATTCGTTTAATTTTAAGTAATCTGTTTAATATTCTGAGATCTAAGAAATCCAAGTTATTAAACAAATTATTTTAAATTAAGGCAGAAATTAAACTGATAAAAGAAAAGAAATACATTTTTTATATTTTATGTTAGTGTTTTTATATCTATTTCATACATATATATATATATATATATATATATATATATATATTCATAATAAAAAATTGAGTACGAATATTTAATTAAGTTTGATGTCGCCAAGTAACAGCAAACGGAGAAACACATGCCACACATTTATATATTTAATATAATATAAATATATATATTTATATTATATTTATATATACTTATATTATTATATATTATGTATATATATTATATATTTTAAATATCGGAAATATATAATAGTATGCAGCACATATTTCTGTAATATTGCTAATCATAAAATAATGTTTTTGTAATATCTGCAATGTATTAACATCTAAGACCTTATTTAAGAGAGCTTTGAAATAAAAACGGACTATGAATATCGGCCTAAGTCTTTAACAGTACTTCATTGGTAGAGTACAGCTAAGTCTCATATGCTCAAATGTGATGCAAGGACTAACCATTTTCTAGGTGGGTAAAATGTATCAGATGTCGCAAAGTTGGATATGCCACTTCATAATGTAACATTTAAAAATAAAAAATGTATATATAAAAATAAGAAATATGCCAATGATATGCATATTCGACTGTCCAAGTAAATATTCTAAAAGAAAAAATATCAAATTTTTTCAATAAATACACAATCTTTTTCTCTTATTTTTTTTTTATAAACTTGAACTGGACTTTTCTGGTAATAGAACTTTTCGAACAATAGAATGTATTTTTTTATTTGCTGTATTTGTAACTATGTTATTACCCAGCAAAAGTAGTTATTACGATTTGTCGTCAAAATATCATTAAAATGATTATTTTTGCTATCTGGATAAATACCAAATATTTAGAAATTAATTTTTATATGAAATATTGTAACTTTAAAAATGATTGAAAAGAGTCAATTAAAATTGATTATAGAGAGATAAAATTAAATTCCCAAAAAATATGATAGAATCTATAATGAATATTTTGCGCAGCTTACATACCCACTCAGAAAATGGCTGCCCTTGCATCAGCCCTTTAACATCGCTGTTGGCGGTGTTAGCGGTCTAATATAAGAAATCTGTATTTCCTTTTGTCAATTGTAAGTTGCACGTTGTTAAAGTACTGGAACTTAGAACCAGTAATCAACTATTTTGCTTTCTCTCATGATTCTAGTAATAATATCGTGTCAAGGCTATAGGAAGCTCCCCAGTGAAAACGAGAAACAATAAGAGTGCAAATTGGCTTTCAAATGAGAGTAGTGACAAAGAGTGTACCTACAGATTTTAGTTACACAGATAATGACGTTCGATAAGTGCGCGTGACATTATTAAAGACTAATTTTTATAAATAATAAATGAAAAAATCGTTATCGATGAGGATAAATAATATTATATATAAAGGAGCAAAAATTGGGAAGACTCTTGCTAAGCAAACTAATTCTTGCGTATGTGTACACGTCTATAGTAACAGGACCTGCGTGTGATTTTTTGAATTTATAGAGCTCAATTCTTTGCACCCTAATTCCCCAGAACGCTAAATTAATGCTTTATACGTCATAATTAGTATACGCGCAGCAATTAATGACGTGCGCAATAATCTTTCTCGAAAATAATCCCGGCGCATCGTTGTCGCGGTCGCCACCCGACGCGTCGTCGCAATATCGTCTTATTCGATATGCAGAGCCGCATTCACCACCGTGTGATAGCCACTGAATTACTACGTCCTGCGCACGTTCCGTCATTCCTCGCTCTCTTGTAACCAGTAGGCGTGTCGAGGATTGTAACAGTCGCGCGACTCGCGTGTAGGGTGTAAATAGTGCTCGTAAGGGTGGAAGCCTTGGAAGAGACGTCTTGCGACAAGGTGAGTTTCTTTCTAAAAAAGGAGGAAAAAGCTTTATGTGAACGAGCAGGTTTTCTAGAATAAGGGGTTGCGTTTGCAATGGCGTCGATCATTAGAGATATGGAGAGAGAGAGAGAGAGAAGAGGGAGGGAAAGAAAGTACAGGGGTAACATACGATTTCATCCAATTCCAGATTTGATTTTTCCAAATTTCTCTGCAAATTCTTCTAATAAGTTATGTTCGCGAATTTAAAATATCATTATATGCACGTATAAATGTCATTATATATATGTATTTTATACACATATAATATATAAAACGAGCATATAAAAATGGAGCGTTATTTCTCTCTTATCATTTTATTATTTAAGCATGATGTATAATTTTTATAATTTTGTTTTTGCTCTACTAACAAAAGAGGGAGAGGAAGAGAACGCATCTTTCAGTTTATATTCTCTTGAAATATTTGATAATCTGACATAATTAGGTATTGCAAATGCGATGAGAATATTTTTCTGATTAAAATTTATATTGAAATCTTTAATTTCTTTCTTGTTATTTTCAATCATTACTGTGCTACAGTAACAAATGTCATAGTTATTATGATCATATGGTCCATTAATTCATGTTTATAGCGTTAGGAATGTTAGGGATGTGTGTTAGAAATTTCTGTGAGGGATAATTAAGATTAAACCTGAAATGAAATATGTGAATGCTATATTACAGCCTACTAATCTTTTAACTTAAGAAAAATTATTATTTAATTGTTCAAAATAAATGCAATGCGATAATAGGTTTATTACATATGTGAATTATGAGATACATGTTCACGCAAATGATCAATGAACTTATGATGTTAACGAATTAGATTCGTGATAGTGAAAATACGATGCATGATTTGTGATCACTTGTGGCAAAATCTCACAGAAAGACAGTTTATTATAATATTGACACAATAGATAATCAATTGTTTTAATGATATAATAAGTTTAACATTAAATGATTTTTGGAATTGATTTTCTAAATCTCAATTTTCGAGTTCATTGTGAATATTTTATTATTTTGCTTTACACATATTTTTTTAATTACTAAATTTCTTTTATTTTCTATATTTTTCTCTTGATTTTTAGAATATTACATTTCTTATTTATTTTCTTTTATATATTGCACTGAATAATTGTTTCACAACTAATTTGAGATTATATTGAGAGTATTTTTTCATTGGTTTTTGATTTTTATGCACTTTTATATTCAGATTATATTTTTATAGTTAAAACGAATTATTGTATTTATTCATTTTTGACTTAGCATATCTTGTGGGTACTAATTAATATTTAGATGTTTGTTAATCTATTAAATTCATTATTTATACAAAACCTTTTTATGCGAAATTATAAATAAATTACATAGCAGTATCATTATCCAATGAAAGCGGATAATTATAGAAACAAATTTATTGATTATTTGTTGCGTCAAAAAAGTAACATTATTTTTATTATTAATAGATTATTTTTACATAACAATAAATATGGCGTAACAATTTTGCCAAAATTTAAGATATTATATATTACAACATGCATTTAATTTTGCATATTTAAAAATATTGGAAACTAGATTATTGGATATTTATACAAGTTGCATAATCTATTAAAGAAAGCTTGCTTTAATATAGAGGCGCCGCTATTGACCATCTTGCTATCCTTCTCCAAGCGCATGGGTGCGGTTCTGATGCTATAAACTGTTCTACTTTTTAGATTTTGCCATTCTATATGTATTTCATTTTTGTCAATCATTCTCGTTTATTGATAAATCATAAAAACCTAGAGAGATAAATTTTACTTAATTTCTACAACTTAATAAAGTTTATTTCAAATAAGTATTAATGTGTATGAATTTCTGATTTGCCAATCTGAAATTAGCGAAATAAAAAACAATTTGAATTAATATCTTTAAGAAGATCTTTAAGAGATCTTTTAAATTTAAAAGAAATTATTATGTAAGGATTACTACGACTCAAACACAGATTAACAAATAATTTTTACCAAAAATCTATGTTTAAGTGACAACAATAATGTAATAGAATATTATTGCAATATAATATATTATTACGTGTTTGTAAATTTGTTACTACGCGGCGAAACTAGATTTAACTAATTCGTATTTAATTTCTCATTTTGAATTAGATATAAAGCCTAAAAGAGACGAATACTAACATAAGAGCTAAAATTTCTATCTCTTTTTTGTCTGTAAAATATTTTCTAATATAATCCCAACAAGAGAAATATTCGAAGTATTAAACAAATTATTTGAAATTGAATGGGCAAATCGGAAATAGTTCAGTTTTATTTATATTTGAAGCAAAAAATCGAAATTTCTAAATAAATTTAATCTCAAGATTTTATAAATTAAATACATATAACTTATTTTATTTATTCAATTAATAATTCTATATATGATCAATATTCTATATGAACCACTATTATATAACTACGATGTAACAACAACATTATTGCTTGCATAACATTAATGTAACAGTGCTTACTAGCTACATACATATAATATGTATATGTCCAATTAATTATATATATATGTAGTTATTATTTAAAAAAATATTTGTTAATATATATTTGTTAAATATGTAATTGTAATAACTAAAACAATGGAATCTGTATTGCAGATGATCTTCTGGATCAGACTTCTTCGCTTTTCCTATGCCCGAGACAGATACTAACGATATGGTAAACATATCTGATACAATGTTGTTATTTATATTAATAATAAATTAAAGTATACAATATTGTTAAGATTTCGCGCTTTTTAAACTTTTCATTCACAATATTACTGCGTGTTGGCGTTGTGAATTGACGTAATTTTTTATTGCGTTTTGATTACCTAATTTGTTGTATAATATAATCTCAACTCTCTCAGTGCTTACTGTATCGCAGTCGCAAACTTAGTTTGTATTTTTATTAATAAATAATAAACTATCAAATATATATAATATAAATCCAAATAAAAATATAATAATCAAGAGATGTATAAACAATTATTTTCAGGGTACAATATGGCTTCAGCACTTTGGCATGTCTCTGGGAATAACTTTCTTTCGTCAGTCTTCGTGTCACTCTTACTGTTTTATCCACACAACTCCAAAGGTCAGTATAAAAACATATAATTATAAGAATATTTTAAAATATTACTTTAGCAATATTACTTTATAAAAGTTGACACAATATATAAAGCAATTGGCAGTGTCGACATTTTTCCAGCATAAAGAAATTTAAATACGATAATCATATGCAATCGTATTATGTCATTTTAAGTATTATGAATTAATGGATGTTTTCAACACATGTTTCACTTCAAATAATTTCCTTTACGTGATAATTCCTTTTATATCAGAATTGAAAATTATAACTGGAAATTATGAGATTTTATATTTAAAAATAATTTGTATAACGACGAATATATTAATTTCACAAATAAATCTAACTTATATTTCACTTTTTAATTTTGCAAAGTATAATGTAATATAATTAAATAATAATATAAATGTATTACACATTAGTATTAGTAATTATATTAATATTTAGTAATTATATTAATATTTATATTAATATATTACTAATATTTACACTGAGTGTAACTGTTAATTATTTTCCAAATTTGCCAATTTAACTTTGTCTTTATCGATGTAATTCGATTGAATTAAATTTTTTTAGTATGAAATTTAAAAATAATTATTTTATAAATAATTAGAAAAAATATAAAATTAGAAAATATTAAAAATGTTCTAATACTCTGTGTATAACATACATGTTATATTGTTATCGAGCTTACATTATAATATGGTGTGGTGTGTTCCCGGTGGTGGTGGATTTTGTCGCGGGATACTTTGTATCGTCACACCATCCCACAATTCAGCCCGCGAGGTAATTGACGCACCACTGCCACAACAAGACTATGTTGCATCACTACCACCTCCACCGGGAGGTGCTACCACTGCCAGAGTACCAAGTATGTTCGTTCTTTTAGTCTTTATCTTTTTTATTGTGCTCAATAATCGTAGAAAATTATATGCTTTTCCTCGAATTCAACAATTCAATCAAACGCCGTCATCAAAAGTCGTCATTTTACCTCCATTTTGTATAGAGTGCGATCAGAAGTTTGTAAGCACTCCTGATGGACCGCTAAATGGAACCTTTTACGCACCAACGCTCATCAATCCTGAAGGAGATCCACGACAGTGTGTTTATACGTTCCTCGCAGGACCGCATCAACGTGTTGAATTGATTTTCACCTCGTTCGGCCTCCGAGGAAAACCACCAGAGTGAGTTTCTATTATTTAACAACATTTTGCGATTGCATCTTGGAATTCACGATTTGCTTTTTACTGTCATTCACGGATTAATAACATTTTTCTTGTCATTTTTTTTATAACAAGTAAAGATATCGAGTCGATTCTTACAAATTTTTTCCTGATTATTCTTCGATAGAAATTTTAATAATCGTGTATAAAATAAATACGTTATGAAAAATATTAAAAAATGTATTTATATTTCTTATTTTGCGGAAAATTTAATCATCAACATTTCAATAATAATAAATACTTTGTCATAAATTATATTTAAATATTATTTATGTAATCTTTACATGCATACTTTTCTCAATCTAGTGGATCTGCTGTGGGAGAATTACCCGCGTAAGTATACGATACGTACAGATACACGAAGTGTAGTCGCACTGTAAATTTGGCGCGAGACACTATTGTGTCTCTTGATAAATAACAGAAGAAACAAAAAGAAAGAAAGAAATGAGCTATAAAAATGAAAATTAAGTAAAATAATATTTTTTTCAGCTGTATTCATGAGTATATGGACATATACTCCGAGATACGATCGGAAAACACGACTAAGCTGATAGAAACGCCATTTGGTGGACGGTTTTGCGGACCAATTCCACCTCGCAGACGGGTCTCTCTTTATCAGGGAATTGCTCTTAGTTTCTTTTCTGATAAGAATATCACTCTACCGAACGTTTTCAGCGGTATTTACAGATTTATTAATGCTTGTAAGTATTATTTGGTATTGATTTTAAAGCGTTTTATTGATAACATGCACTTATTATCATGCATTTTAAGAATAAACTGTAAGTTTGACAGTTAATGTAACATTCACAGCTGAGTATAAAGTGGGCACGCCAGCACCAAATACACCATGCTCTTTCACGATACACGCAGAAGCTAAACGTAGCGGAAATATATTATCTCCTACTTATCCTGGCACTTATCCGAAAAATCTTACTTGTAATTATCAATTTATCGGGAAGAAAGGACAACGTGTGCGGTTGGAATTTCGCGACTTCGATTTATTTTTTGGCGGGCTACAGTACGTACATGCAAGATTAAATTTTTTTTAGATTTTTAAAATTCTTATAGCCTGTAATAACATAGATTAATTAAAGAATTAATTTTCTAAAAGAAAAAAATTAATATTTCGATAATGTGGAAATTAAAAAGATATATTGTCGTAGAATAAATTCTCTGTTATTTTCTTTTAATTTATTTTAGATTAATTTTTTGTAGAGATATATTTAATGATTAATAAATTTTATAAAGATTATAGAAATATTTTTAATGATTAATAATTTTTATTATTATTAAATAATAAATAATTTTTATTATTATTAAATAATAAATAATTTTTATTATTATTGCTACTTGTGATAATAACTTAATTTAATTTAACAAAAAAATGAAATTATTTTAGTTGCCCATTGGATTACGTAAAGGTATATGATGGTCTTGACAATTCTACTGCCGTTATTGGCACGTATTGCGGTCAGCAGCGAAATTTAGTATTGTACTCCTCAGAGAATAGTTTGTTCGTGCTGTTTGTCACGTTGAAGCGCACAGCTAATACTCAGAACCGAGGTTTTAAGGGTATTTTTGAGTTCTCGGAGAGTTTTGTTAGCCTGGGTAAGATCATTTACATATCGTTTATTGAATCATATCTTGTTTTAAATGATATTTACTATTCTTTTTTTATACAGATTTCATAACGGAATATCACGGCGAGCATATCCGTGGATCGGAGTGCGATCAGAAAATCCTCAGCAAGAAGGAGACATCGGGATTTGTAGTTAGTCCAAATTTTCCATATCCTTATATACCTAAGGTTGTTTGCCGTTATTTTATCTATGGGATGCAGGATTCGCAGCACTTGGAGCGCGTACGATTGGAATTTTTAAAATTTATGATACAGATGGCCAAAGGAGAGTAAGTACATGCATGTTAACATGTCAGAAGAAAATGAACTGTGTTTGTTATGAACTGTATTGTATTCTTCAAATTTATTTAGAGCGGCATGCACCGATGGTTACCTGAAATTATACCTGAAAGGCCAAGAAGCGACAGATTCTTACGACAAATTCGATTACGAGATGTGCGGTAACAAGAGCAATCCGAATCACGTGGTTAGTGATGGCCCGAGACTTGTGATGGTGTTTAGTAGCGGAGAATTGCAAGCGACAGGTTTCAAAGCCAAGTGAGTGTAGATATAATATGATTAATATAATAAAAAGAAGTATACTAGGATGGATAAAAAGATTATATTACGATTATTATTTTATTTTTTTTACAACTTATGTACAAATTGTCTTATTAAAATAGAAGCTAATAATTTTTCAATCTAATGTTTGAGAAGATTGATGTATGGTATACGAGTTTGAAGATTCCCTCTCGATAAAAATAAGGCTCTTGATGCTTAAATCATTTTTATATAATATTCTGTACTGCTGCATCATTAAGGAGACAATTCGAAGAAAGAAACCCCCCCGAGTTTCTCTCTAGAGAACTTTTTCTTGTAAACTTTTTTGACGATATAATATCGGATCTCACTCTACACATTGAATTCAGGAATTTTTATAAACATTTGATTGGAATATTATGAAATATTCTTCTCTAGATCTGCCTCCTTGCAATTTTCTTTTGCTTAAGCTATTAAAAAACTCCTTAAACGAAGACGATTTCCAGATGCAGAAATATGCAGAATATTGTTTAAGAATGTTTAATATTGTTTAAGATTTAAACATCAAAATCCGGATTTTTAGGGAGAAAGAATCTTTAAATTCGTGCAAAGAACAAAAACATTAATCTTCTTGAAGACTATTAAAAAGTAATCGTTATTTATTACTTATATTTTAAGATAAGCTCAATTTGTACATAAATGATAAATAAAAGTTGTAATAAAAACAGAAACCTTTACTTTTTGATATATTTTAATATTTAAACAAAATACTAAAATAGAAAACAAAAGCAGTAAATATGATTTTCATTGACATAATAATTGTTATATCACCGACAGGTACACCTTCGAAACGGAATATAAGATACCGGGCACTGCGGCGCCCGATGGCAGTTGTACTTTCACTTATTACAGTTCGTCTCGCAAACGTGGAGAATTTAATTCTCCACGATATCCTAGTAATTATCCAAGCAATACGAATTGTACATACTTTTTCATGGCAACGCCAAACGAGCAGATTACTTTGATTTTTGACGCCTTTAAGGTTCGTACGAAAAACGTCAACGTAACAGTCGGACATTACGGGTGAGTGAATTATTAGCATGTATCATATCAGATCAATTTAATTGATCAATATATTGTCTCTAATATTTTTTATAGACATGAATTATGTCAGGAAGATTGGCTTGAAATTTATAATATGTATCGGGACGAAACGGAGAAATTGATAGGAAGATATTGCGGTGCAACTGCGCCGGGTCCGGTAGACTCGAATCTCGGTGCTCTTGGCTTGAAAGTGATTTTGCATTCTGACTCCGAGCTTGTTTACAGCGGCTTCAAAGCGCGTTATACTTTCGAAGTCGCTAAACCTATTTTCGGAGGTACAGATGCATTTTGTTGTTTTCTAATTGAAGATAACTGAAAAGAAAATATAATTGTTGAAATCTTTTATATCGTCAATCTAATTTTGGAAAGTTTATTCATCATTCGTAATATTAATTTTATTATATTATTATGTCGTAGATTGTGGATCAAATATTAGTAGCTTACATTATGGTATAATAACCAGTCCGAATTTCCCTAATAAATACGATGGGCCAGCAAGAAACTTAGCAAGCAAAACTTGCAATTGGTTCATAAAAGTTCAACCGAATCACCAGATACTTCTGAACTTCGAGATCTTCTCTGTGGAAGGTGATCAGATAGGTAATACATAAATTTATTATTATAATTAATAAAATTAATTGATATTTATTTTTTCTTTATATAAGGTGTAATTGAAGAAGAATACACATGGAGCATATTATCAGATACAAGATAACAATGTAAATCGAAAAATCCTGAACTATTTTTTTACCTGAACTTGTTTTTTTGTTTTATACAGTGTCAAAGTTAGCTAATCGGCGCCTGTCTATAGATTGACTGTTTCACTATTTACCGATTTTCCATCCTATTTCTTTTGTTTTCCAGCAGATAGTTACTGATTAGCTAATTTTAGCATTATATAAAAATAAAAAGAAAGTTTAGATAAAAAAATGGCTCATAATTTTCCAATTTAGATTGTTGTCTTATATCTTACGGTGTGCTCCTCATATGTGTTTTCCAATTTCACCGCGTATATTTTAAAGAAAAATATCGAAACCATATTATTGTGTTTTTGAAGTTTTTGAGTTAAACTAAATAGTCCTCTATTGGAAGTCCTTTGCCATTTTGCGATTTTCGTAATAATTAATAAGAAATTAATTTCTCATTAATTATTACAAAAATCATAAAATGGTATACAAGACTGTTCTATTTAATTTAACCTGCTCTACTTCTACACAAGAAGTGATACAGTTATTACCGAACACCCTATGTGTGTGTGTGTTTGTGTGCAGAGTGTTTTAAAAAGAATCGGAATCTCGGAAAATTTTGAAAAAATGTTTTATAAAAAAATGTTTAACACAAAAGTTATAGGGTTTAAAAAGATTTATTTATTAGTTTTATCAGTTTCATCTTGAGTGACAGTAAATAAAACGACTGACATAATCGAGATACTCATTTAAATATTTTAACATCATATTGATAGATCATTCCAAAATCGTTTCAAGGTTTTCACAAACATTATCATCTAGAATTTTTCGAATATTGTATATTTTGTCTGAAATATTTTCTTATAGAATCAATTATTTCGGAGATAATTGGCCATTTCCAGAACTTTAAACTATTCTATATATTAATTTATTTATATTGCGTTAGAAACTGTTAATGATAATTATTGTTGATAATTATTTTCATAGCACGAGGTTGTCCCGCAGCCGTATTACGTATGTGGTATTCATTAATGTCCACTCCACACGAGCTATGTGGCGTTAGAACTAGTGACACAAAATGGCATTTTCTTTCGGAAGATAATAATATGCGGCTTAGGTTGGTTATTTTTAAATAAACGTGCATAATTGTGGAAAAATGTTTTTAGTACATTTTTACACTATGTTCTAGTTTTATATCAGCTGATAAAGCGGTAGGACAACAAGGCTTTCGGGCAGTATGGACTGAAGTGAGCACGAATATAGACTGTCAAAATCAAGAATTTCAATGCAGCAAAAATAAATATTGCATCGCTGAATCGTTACGATGCAATAACTTTGATAATTGCGGGCCGGATGATGCGTCGGATGAAGAGAATTGTAAGTTTCGCTAACAGTTAGAACACAACGTGTGTTAACAAAAGCAAGCATTTCGAAAAGCGATGTGATTCAATGTTTTACTTTGCTTCCATTATGACTTATATTATCTTTTTTTCATTTTCTTTCTATACGTCAACTATACTCTACTAATATTCAGTGTAATCTCCTCTGGACTGTTCAATAGACATATTCTACAAAGATTTCCAAGTGTATTGTCTTTGTGTATTGTAACACCTTTTCAGGTTGATCCTTTATCAGTATTGTTAGTTTGTCATTCGTTTATATCACAAAGCAAAAGTAAGGACACTAAGATTTATTGAAAGTCGGCATAAATAACGAAACATATAATTCGGATTAATCATATAATTTGAATTAAAATAACATGCATCTCCAAACTCTCTCTTCCTTTTCCTTTCACTTTTCTTTTATCCTTCTTCTTTTTTCTCTTCTTCTCTCTTAACATGTTTCTATCATATTTTCTCTCTTCGTCTTTGATCTTTCTCTCATTAATTTTTTTCTTCGTTCTTTTCTTTTTGCTCTTTTCCTTATTCTTTAACATCTCTCTTTCTTATCCTTAATCCTTCCTTCTCTCTCTTTTCTTTTATCATCCTATACTCTTCATTTACTTCTTATACATTTTTCAATTGCTCCTTTTACCTTCAATCTTTATCACTTTGTCTGTTTCCCATCTATATCTTTTCTCTCCATCTCTCTCTATCTTTCCTATTCTACCTCTTTCTTTCCCTAATCCTTTCTTTTCCTCTCTCTTATCCTCTTCCTTTGTCCTGCGCTTTTTTCTTTTCGACTCTTTTTTTTACTCTTTTTCTTTCTTTCCTGTCTCCCTATTTTTTTCTATTATATATTAAAAATGAAAATACACACGTGTGTGTATGTGTGTGTGAATAAAAAAAGAAAATATTAAATAGTTTGTTTTACATTATGCAATTATATACATACATACATATGCGCGCGCGCTGGTATGTGTGTGTGAGATTGCATAATGTAAAACAAACTATTTAACATTTTCTTCCTTTATTAATAATAAAATCAGGACATCTAACATTATATAATATGCGCGATACTTTTAAATATTAAGGAATTTAAAAACTAAATTTTATATAAATTAATAAAAAATTTGTAAACAGAGTGTTCTCTGTATTTTTTTGAAAGCGGATTTTTTAAAATATTTAGACATAAATTTTTAATACGAAAATGCCAAGACTGTAATAGTTTTTAAATTACTAGTAATTATTATTAGTTTATGATTTCAGAGCTGACAATTTGCTTGCTCAAGCATAGTTAAATCATAAGTTATACATGACGAATGGAATCTTTTTAACAACGTCAAATTAACATATAAATATGCAGTTATATTTTTATTAAAAACATGTTTTTGCTTTTATACAAAACTTATTCATTTATTACATACACATAATTAACGTTATCACATTAATTCAGTAGTGAAGTATTACGATACGTATTAGTTGTTAAAATAAATTTATTTTTATGTTTATTATTTGCTTTACATAGTGATAATTTTTGTGGTAATATTGATAGATAAATTATTTTTTATCTTTACATTAAAAAATAAGGCGAAAATATACTAAATATTTAAAAACTTAAAAAACTAACACATATAAAAGTATTTAAATAATTATAAATTTATATTTAAACCATAAATTTAAAAAATCTTATATTGATATTGATATTTGTCTATGATTTATTATCTATATGGATTTTGAAAGCATATATACATGTTCTATGTTAATGTTAAATCTATATTAATTTTTATATTTTTAATTTTTTTAAATAATTATTAATAAAACTGAGAAAGAGAGAAAGATTTAATATAAGCTTACAGTTAAATAAGTATTAATTTGATATGTTTCTGTCTTATTTTATTAATATAATATATTTAATCTTTTTCACGTTGAGGCAAAAAATAGTTTATAGATTTTATTATAAAAATTTTTATTGTACGAGGCAAATAAATATGAAAACAAATGTATTATGACAACTATTGTAATATTTCGGCTTTTAAATGATATTTAAATGATATTTAAGTTTAAGCTTTTAAATGATATTTAAGTGATATGTTCGGAAATCTTAAAATGCATATATAATATGTACAAATAGATTCCGTATAGGAATAGAAATGTCAGCAATTAATGAAAATATGAGCAGACTATGGTAATCTCGATGTTGTTAAAAAGATCTGATTCTTGATTGATAGTAACATTTTTGCCATTTATCATTTGATTATATCTGAGCGCGTGAAATATGAACTCTGTAATTCGTAACTTTAATCATTAATAATTTAAAAATTATTATAATTTCAACACTTTTGTATTATGATTTTTATCTTTGAATATTCCAAAAAATTCCCTTTTAAAAGGAAATGCAGAGATTTTACTATTATGTGTAATTCTAATATCATTAATATTTTAACACATGAATTTATGTGATGCCATGTGTATGTATGTATGCACAGACTTATATACATACATATAAACATCAACAATTATACTAATTAATACTGCACGGAGCATGTATTTTTATACTTATTTGACCAAAAGATATATCAAATGCTTTATTACAAAGAAAAGAAACATCATATGCGATCTACAATTTTTTGATCTATTTAACGACATTTATCTATTGGTACATCTATAATCAACAAAATACTTTTTAATTTATTAATCAATTACAATTCGACTTCCGTGTCAACTAAATATAAGATACATTGGGATGATAAACAATTTAATATTAACATATAGTGTTTCGGAGCTAATAAGAGAGCGTTGTAATTTTCCTTAGGTAAGTAGTAGTAAATGTAGACGTATGTACACAAGGTGAGAGAATGATGGGATTGCGTGTGTGAATGATTGTATGGTGTCGCAGGTGCAGCATCAGCCCCATTGTCACCAGCACTGGCTGGGATCTCTTCTGCCATGCTTCTCTCTCTGTGCTTTGTATTCGTGGCCGTCTGAGCCCCCTTCATGAAGCTTCCAGATGATCCGGCATGTTATGATCTCTCCCTTATCACGTGAGTTCACTCACAATATTGCACAATCATATCACATTATAGCTAGTTGAATGAGCATATTACATGTGTTACTCTAATATCATTATTATCTTCACCGTATCGATGCTACTAATAGAAAAGAAACGGGGTTTCTTATCGATTTTGATGGGTTTAGGATATATTGTAGAGTAATTAAAAAGACACTTATTTTTTGTATTTTAACTGTAACTGTAAAAAATGCGGATGTTATTAAAACGAAAGTTATCCCCCATCTTTTCAACTGATGTGGTGACGACCAAAGGAGAGTACAGTTCTCTTTTAATTGCTACCGCTAATCTTCTAGATGAGTCGTTGCTTAAGTGATAAAATTTTCTTACTTTTGTGGTCGAAATCGATTGCTACACAGTCCGTTTCTAGCTTACTTCTGAAGCATTACTCGCTTATAAAAAGAGATCACAGTTTTCCATGATCTCTTGCCATTGACCATCCTGTAGGCAATGGCAGGCAGCGAGCAATCCTCATCAATATCAATTTTTTCCTCCTCAAGATTTTGTCTGAAATATTTTTTTGTGTGACGTTAAATTTAGAAACTAGACAAATTTTTATTAAAGTGAAATACCCTGTACATTATGTTTAAAATTTATTTTCGAAAATACAATTTCAGAAAACAATATTTGAATGAATTAGGGATTGACCGCTCTTGGTTTTTAGTCCTAATGTAACTTTTAATACTTGTAAAAATAATAACGGAAATGAAGATATATCGAAAAATATATTTAAAAAAAATTTAAATATGTAGTGTGGAATAAAATAAATATAAATGCTATAATATACTTTTGATATTTTTTTATATATTGCAATTTTCATGATGTTCAAATTGAAATTATGTGTTGAATTAACTTCTCTCTTTTTCAAAGGATTATTTCAACGTATAAATATGTAAAAATATGCCCGTAAAAATGCGTATCTCTTATTTAACTTATTATACAACATTCATATTCATATGCATATTTAAAATCCATCAAAATCGATAAAAGATTTCGATTTTTTTCTTTGCAAGATAAGATAGGATATTTTATTACATTCTTGTTTTAAATTCTATTTCTAAAATTAAAATTCATATTATAATTAAGAGAGTATGGCTGAAAAATCAAATATTTGAAGTTAATTTTATGTGTGAGATTTGAATTTCAGTTATTAAATTAAGGATATATATATAATTTTTCCGAAAATAGGTAGTAATATTATCCGAGATCGAAAAATATGCCCGGAAGAAATGCAATTCAATGTATGTCTTTACTGATTATTTAATTGCATGTGATTCTGTATTTCTATATTTCTATTCTCTTTAAATTTTATACAACTTATACTTCCTCTTTTTAAACTATTTACCTTTTCCCTCATAGTTATTATATTTATCAATTTATATGGAATAAATTAAGTAATGACCATAATTTTAAAAATTTGCAAATCAATTTGCAAATTTTGTAATAACAGAAAAATTAATATTAATGAAACAAACGCTTAATAATCAAGTAAAATTAATAGTCAAGTGACAGGCGAAGTAACAGGCGTAAATGAAAAATTTTATGATTTTGTTTCACTTTTTTTACCCTTATTAAATTGTTTTTATATTTATTTCATTTTATATAATTAACTGTTTATTGAAGATGGTCCAAAGAGGACTAAAATGTATATAATAAATATTACTTAGGTTTTTAATCGAAAATTTTTTATTTGTGCCTATTACTGTATCTCTAACTCTTATCTAACTCTTGGTCCGTTTCGTTAATATTAATTTTTTATGATTGACAGCCTATGTTTTATTTATTATTAAGGAGACATTTCTAAGGGAATACTTTAAAACAATTTAATAAAACACAGAAAAACTGAGCGAGAGAGAGAGAGAGAGGGAAAGGGAGAGAAAGAATTTAGAATACAATATTATGAATGTTAATCACGATTCCGATATGTCTACATGTGATTCCAGTGAAAAATCTGATATTGAATCGACACTCGATGTTGATGCCATCTAAAACTTATCCAATCGCAATTGATAAAAAATTAGCCAATTTTGATCCATTCTTTTAAAATCAAGAGTGGCTTGTTTCCAAGTTATTTGTATCAAATTCAAAATTTCTCTAAAATTAGAAGACTGTATGAAGCTATACAAATCGGTTGATTTAATGATACATTAATTTGCATATTTAAAAGTTAAACTTTCTCAAAAAATCAAGCATGATTAAGCGTTATTAAATTTTAATAATTTTTTTATTATTTTATAATGTTATTAAATAAACATTTATCAAAAAGACATGTATGCAGCAAGACATGTGGCAGCAAACTTACAGACAGTTATTTGAATAATAACACATACATACATATCTTTGGCGCACATATAGACACATATATACATAAAGACATGTAGTTAAATATTATTATATAATTATTTCTATATATTTTATACGCGAAATATATATATATACGCGAATTGCAGGCATTGCGGCAATACCAGCAGACAATTACACGAAACCGATAGCCTATGCTGTTGGCAGCATCCTAGTCATCCTGATGTTCTGTTTAGTCTGCCACCGGAAGCTACGACGACGATCGCGTGGTGTGCCAATCGATGAACTGCCGCCGCAATGTGTAATCGATGCCATTGATCGCCATTGCTATCATCACCATGATCTGTTACACGCAGATCATGCGTTAACACACGACTTTAATCAGTATCAGTTGGAAGAATCAAGTCCGTTGAACGAAAGTGATGAGATGGAGGAGCCTGAACAAGATTGCCACCAAGAAACCAGCAGCCCAGATAGTATGTAACATCGATTACTGCATCCTTCGCACTGTCTATCACGTGTAATCTTTATTGTTATTACACGTTATAAGAATTGTTAAAGAAACTGTGGTGAAAACAAATCAATGTGATGTTTATCGTTATATACACAACGTCATTATAATAATATTGCATTGTAAATTTTTTACGTATGCGATATTTGTGTATACGTATACAAATATTCATAAGCGATGACGCAGACACAGTGAATATGCGATTTTTAAATTAAATTATTGGGAATGATTTTTTTTTTAAACTTCTTACATCGAAATATCAAACGCATGTCATAAATAACAAAAGTCTAAAAATCCTTTATTTATTTTTAGAAAAGTCTAAAATCTTTATTTATTAATGCGACATCTCCATGTTTTGTCATCAAACCATATTTTTAAAATATTTTATTCAAAAAAAACATCGTAAAAGGACTGTGAGTATGATTGTTATTGCGACGTTTAACGCCTTTAAGATAATATTATGTTTTACTTCGATGAATGAACCGACAACATCTGAACATTTATAGCCATCAATGCTTCGTTTACTAAATGTAAATCGAATTTTAAGTCATAAATCGCTCAAAGGTATAGATCGAAATCTAAGAAGTGATATAATAACTAATTGAAAGTATTAACTTCATTCCAGAACATATTGGAATACGCTTCCATTTTGCATTTTTACTGGATTCTGCGTTTTTTAATTCTCTTATACAAATAAAAATTAATCAAGTTATTTGGTAACTGATTGATACATAGATTAAAGCGTGGTATAAGATCATTTTTACTTTCTATAATTTATATTATACATGTAATAGAATAGTTTATAATATTTATAAGTTAAATACAAATTTACATAAAAAATGCAAAATAATTTGGATTTATATATTATAAATTGATATATTATATTATTGATATATTATAAATTATATATCGCCTTTTTTTTACATAAAAATTAGATTAATTCTTAATTGTTAGTTTTTTTCATGAAAAATAGCGAATCGTATAATGATTTCTAATTGGTCGACGAACAATTAACTAATCGTATTCAAAGTTTCATTGAGTACATAATCCCCGAATTCTAATTATGACGTTGTAAACCGCATTATAATAATAATAATATAAATTAAATTAGTTATACATATAAAGGATGTAATACGATATGTATACAGAGCGATTTAAAACCTGAGCAGGGAAATGATTAGCCATAAAAAAGAAACAAAATGTTTATATAAATATATGTTTATATAAATATCCCAAAACCTTAATGTTATTATGAATTACACAACTTTGAAAAAAAATCAAAATTATCAATTTTTTTAGATTGCTTTGCTTTTAATCATAATCGACATATTAATGTAAATATAAAATTGATTATTTGTTAAATCTTGTATATGGTAGACAAATTAATTGTTACTAATTTGTTAAGAAACATGAACTTTACTGGTTAATTTGACAAATCTTATATTAAAGGCGTAAATTAATTGATTTAAAATATAAGCAAAAAAGCTAATATGCTAACAATAATAGGTTTAATCAGAAATTTACAATAAATTGGCATCAATTGTAAATGCCTTAAACTTATGATTTACCAGCAGAACTTGTTAACAAAATCTGACAATGGATTAGCGGTAGAAACTGAACAGAATCTGTTCCCAGCACAAAAAGGTCGAAAGACATCTTAAAAACATTTAAAGAATGATAAGACGTCTTTAAGTCATTGTTTAGAGATATGTGTTGTCTGAGTTGTTTCTAGCCATTTAAATGAAATAGTAATAGTAGAGTTATTTGTGAAAATGTTTTTAATATTTGAATTGATTTCAAAACACTGTTATCTGTTCTAATGTTATACAAGCACAATGAAGCAGAGTATATTAAGTGAGTGCTATTAATAATAAATAATTAGTTATCCAGATAGCAAAATTTCAGCAGTATGTCGGTAATTTAATCATTTTTGCAGCAATTTTCTATCCACTGTGTTCGCAATTGCTCACTTTCTACTAGCATAAATTGCTCATATATAAAGAAGAAATGCAATAAAAATCGAGCATTTGCTGTTATGATGTGGCAACAAATTGTAAACATCAAACAGGATCATATTCTAAATCAACGATAGAAAGATAGGAAAAATTAAGCCAAATATGCTATCACCTTGTAACACTAAAAACGCAGCGAAAATGCAGCATGATCTACTATAAATATTACAGATATTATGGCATAAATGTTATCGATAAGTCGCCAGTTATTTATAATTTTCTAATCATAAATGTAGCATATAATGAAGCATATGTTATATTATAATTATATTCTATATAATATATAAATAATTAGCATAATTAAATTAATAAAATAATTAAATTTTAACAGTTAGTTTAATATTCTAAGTCTTTTGTTGGAATTGTATCAGAAAATATATATAAGCTGATAAAAATAAATACTATACATTTTTAATCTTGTTAATCGCGTTTTGCAGTCTTTATATTTGCCCATGAGAGAAACTTAAATAGCAGATGGATAAATCGTCGTTGATGGCGACAAATGAAAGAATTATAAGTTGATATAATATATTGCTGTGTTTCTTTGTTATATTTATCCTTCATATAGATTTTTATATATTATATTAAACTGTTAATATACTGCTACAATAAGTCTTATATAAAAATGTGAAGAACAGCCATTTGGGCAGAATATTATATCGGATGTTCCAAAATTCGATATAACGTGCCTTTTGATAAAACGTGATAGTGACGTATTATTGTAAGGATAATATAATGAAAAATATAGAATAATAAAGAGGAAATAAAGATATAATAAAGAGGAATATATTTAATATTCAAAAATAAAAAATTGCACACCCTTTATTATATATGTATGCACATTGCAATTAGTGCATTCAATAATATCACATTTTAATTTAACAATTAAGTAGGTTCATTTTGAAGTTGATTTTTTTCTTATACTAATAAAATTTGCTTGTTTTTATTCTTGTAATGTAGACTCTTGTAGAATAGTAAGACTCTATAAATATAAAAATACAAAAAGCTTAATATCTTTATAAAAACATAAAATATTCTCTAAATGCATATAAAATTTTATAATAATATATTCTACAAATATATAGAGAGAAAGAAAAAGGAAATGTAAAGAGAGAAAGAAGAAAAAAGAAAAGGAAAAGAGAGAAAAAAGAAAGGAAGGATCTTATTGTCCAACGTAAAATCTTCTAATTAATTAATCCGATAGAAAAATTCAAAGTACCACTTATTGCGAATGGTTCTAGTAATCGAAATTTGATTAAATAGAAAAGAGAAAGGGAGAGAAAGAGAAAAAAGATAGAGAAAGAGAGAAGAAAAAATATACAAAAAAAAAAAAAAATATATATATATATATATATATATATATATATATATGTGTGTGTATGATGTGATAAATATATTATAACTTACATGTGCAACTGTAAGTATTCCTTTGGAAGATAAATTAGTTAATTCTTCCATGAGTTCTGCCATTTGGCATTTTTGATTAACCATCTAAAAGAATTAATATTTTGTAATATCTATATCTGAGCAAATTATATAAATCTAAAATAACTTAATTGTAAATTCTATAAATAACAATTTTACCTCCAAAACAAATTTTTTATCAGATTCATTTAAAAATGGTAGGAGTGCTGCGGCCAAAGATGCCTGTTTACATTGGAAACAATTTTTCACAATAGTAGTGAAGTTTAATTCATGTATCACAGGACACGAATATAATAGACAAATCGCCTCTATGCAACTATCAATTTGTTGCAGATTCGAATTTACATTGATCTCTCTAAATGGTTCGGAAATAATTAATTGCCATCCCTTTTTGTAACCATTGCAACTTACGATGACCTTCTCATTTCGTGATTGCAGTAAAACTTTTTTCAATTCACTTATCTATAAACACATATATATGTTTTAATATAAAGTTTTCTGTGAGCTTTATATATCTGATGAGATGTAATTTTCATACCATGCGTAACTTTGTCATCTGACTCAAAGTATCATCCCAAAATAGAATGTCATATATTTCAAACTCGATGCAAATCTGTGCTATAAGAGAGACAGCATCAGACGAATGACGTTGACTTTTTAATAATATTTGAACGAGATCATGTTTAGAACAAGTTTCAAATGAATTAACGCTATAACATAATCCTAACAATTCTAACTTGCTAATATAGTGTAACGACTTCATATATTTTCTGAAATATGAAAAAAGCAAAATTAATTTTCTTAGTATAATATATATCGCCAAAACGATAATATATTACAATCTCTGCTTATATACCTAAAGGTACATATATCTTGCTGGAGTAGCTTCTCTAAAGTAGCAGTATCAACAATATTTTGTAAAATTCGTAACGCTCGATATTGTACGTTATAATTGTATTCAGCCTGACCGCACTGATCACCAAAGCCTATATTTATAAGAAATTGTGCAAACAATTCCACATCTCCATTTTCAAGCATATAACATGTTCTATAAACATATTGCAAGAATAAAATTAGATAAGAAATAAATAATATAACAAAATAAAAAAAAATATATATATATATATTTACCTAAATAAATTATCTTCATAATCTGTATTCTGATCAGAGTCTTTTAACGTTAGAAACGTCTGTGTAAAGCTTTGGCATAACTCAGTATATCTAACATCGGATTGTAACCATTCTTGCAATAAATCTAAACGCAACTTTATTATATTTAACGAAAATAATTTGCCAAGTTCATTAACGGCAGCATTAATATTGGGCCTGTGATTGGATGTAGTTCGATATCGTAATGATATGCTTTCGTCGTTATATAATTCATATACCAATTTGTATGGGTTTTCGATTAAAGCAAGATATTTATCTTTCTCTAATCCGTATGTACGTAGAATATGCTCGGATGTGCATCTCAAATATTTGTCTTTAATTTTCTGAAAATATATGCAGAAATGCAGAAATTAATATGATTTTTTTTAACAATATTGTCTAGTAAATATTGTTATATTAATAAAGTAAAAGCAATATGAAATGTTACAAGTAATATACGTAAGATAAATTATTACAATAAATTATTGATTAATTGTGATTTTCCATTTATAATTATAACATGTAATATGTTATATAATTTATATTCTATAGGTGTATAGAGAGAAACTGGGATCTCTGATATATACTTATAATAATATTTTGCAATATTTGTTACATTGTTGTAATGTAACAGAATTGTACTGTTACAAATAATATGTTACAGTTTTATTTAAGTCATATATAACTAGTGTTATATTAGTATTATTTGTTACTTCCACATGTTATTACAACAATGTTTACTACTTTATTATAGATTATTATAATATATACCTCCAACATTCCTTCCTCGAATTTGGTAGAATTTCGCGCCGCCAATTGAGCATACTCGTAACATTCTTTCGCTGCAGCAACGCGATCGGCACCAGCAGGTGTATAATTTACAACATAATACAATGCCACAGTGCCATAATAGAATCCGTCTGAATTAGTAATCTGTTGTATACATTTCTTTATATCTTGGAGCAGTGTGGTGTTTCTTAAGCAAGGTGACCAAGCGTTTTCCGATTTAGAATTATTTCCCCATACACGAGTCACTTCACCCTTAATAGCTAATGTACATATGAGGTGCGTTTCTAGTTTGAGTATGGGTGCGATGTCAAGCCATTTATCATATGTTCTTAAATTCAATTCTGGAGCTAGTAAAATAAATACAGGATAAGTCTGATAAAAAGTTCACCACGTGTTTTTCGAAAACAGTTAGAGATAGAGAAACACATCCATTAAAATTGTAGAATAATTAAAAGCACGTGTTAATGATATTGAACAACTTTGAGCATTTTTGATTTTTACATTATTAACTAAAATTTTCTTTTTTTAAATAGAAAGAGATATTCTTGATTCACTCCATCAATGATACTCAATGAATATCATTAGGGTAGTTTAATAACTTTTATATCAGAGCATTTTCTTCCAAATCAATTTCTTTCTATTTAAAAAAAGAAAATTTTAATTGTGTGGAAACTAAAAATATTCAAAATTATTAAAGTATATGTCCATATTTATTTAATTTTGATAATGAGTATCTTCGCCTATATCTAATTGTTTTCGAAAAAAATGTATCAGATTCATTTCCCTGTATATTATAAAATATATATAAAATAAAATAATTATTTATTTATAAGTATCAAAATAAACATACTAATAATTTTCCAAATATCTTCAAACAAGAATGGAAGTCTCCATTGGGCTATTAGCGGTAATGTGCTATGTCCTAGATTAAGCTGTATCCATTTATCATGTTCTATTTGAGTAGGAGATCTAGCAAAAGATTTAATGAGCATCTAAATCAAAATTTATTCATGCAAAATTATAATTTGCACTTACCCACTCCGAGTGTAATTTTGTAAAAAATAAAGATAATTCCTTTTTTTCATATCATTATTTCCCGTGAGATCCATTAATATGATAAACACTTCATAATAGTAAAAATTGACCTAAATTTAAATATAAATATTTATATTATACAAAGAAAAAATTACAATCAAGTATTTTTTTTATCCTTTACAACTTACCTGATTCCATAATGACGAGATACATTGCTTTATCATAAATTCATCACTTAATTGTGCAACAATTTCGTTGCATTTCTTTCTTAATTCATCTATTTCGCTCTTACAAATAAGTAATTCTATAAAATATATATTCGATCATATACAAATATTATTATATTATAAATTTTTTACGTATATAAAATAATTATAATTCTATAAATGACGATTAGCGTAAAAAATACACATTTTTATATGTATTATATTATTTACATCTTTATTTACCTTTATACATGCTCCCATTTGGCATGATTATTGTTGGATTCCACGTTTTTAATAATATTTCTAAGTAAAGTAATAGGCAATCATCGAAATTAAAACCAAAATTATAACAATAGTCTTTTAGCAAGGGAATTATGTTTTCCCTATTACTATTTATAATCTGCATTAAAATTTCTCTTTTGCTCGAAGCATTATTTATTAAAATTTCTGTAAATTATATATACATATTAAAAAGACGTTAACAAGATTTTCACATTTGAACAAACAAAATTAGATTCGTTAATAATGCATGAACATACCTTTATAAGCTATTGAATAATGTGACAATTGTTGTGCCCAGATGTGTAGTAGCTTGTAATCTTTGAACATTTGTAAAGATCGATTATGTCCCAACCGCGAATATTCATATCCCAGAGTCGAAATCGTACAATGCCGGATATAATCAGCTTGAAAACTTTTTTGAAAGATTTTTATATATTATTAGCTATCATATTTTATAAATGATTAGTATTAGAATTATTGGAAAATTATTTAATTTTCTTACAATGTGCAAGTTGTAGAAAGCCAGGTGTATGCTTCCGATTCAGGTAACATAAAAAGACAAGATAATCCTAATTGAAGATCGAACGATCGTTCAATACACAGCTTTTTCAGTAAACTCATCAATAGTTGCAATAATATGGACTCCATTTTCTTTGATATAACTCTGTTTCTTACTGATATGGTACAGTACATAAAATAAAACGTCTTAAAAATTTGCAATAAAGAATAATCATTGTGTTGACGTTGCATCTTTTTTACATTTTCCAGAAAGTTATTTAATTGATCCTCCAGCAATTGTTCCTATAAACAAATAAAATAAAATATATCATATAAATATTCCCGTACACAACTATTTTTATAAATAAAATGTGTACATGATACATACATTGCAATTAGTAATTTCATTATCATCAATTTGATTTGAACAATATAAATAAAGATATATTGCATCATTGAACAGAAACAATAATCTTTTATCCAAAATTACTGCCTGATCTTTATATATTGTGTACAATTTCCAACCAAACTGTGGCACCATTTCTTGTTTTATATTGGAATAATGTTGAGTAAAAAAGTTTGAACACACACTAGTATAAGTGTTTAGTATTACTGCAGATTTTAAGTCGCCTGAAATATTAATTTACAATTATTTAATGCTACTTCAATTATTAACATCAATGTAATACATACTGTCTTGACAAATATTTAACATCGAAGCACTTAAGTTTTTGACAACTTTTATAGTATCTACGTTTATTTCGGCATGTTGTAATGCTAATAAACATATCTTGTATATATATTTAAAATCATCTGATATATTTAAATCCTCATCATCATAACTGTAAGATAAAAAATTATGATTATACAGAAATAAATATATTATATATATATATATATATATATATATATATATATAAATATAAATTATATAAATTGTATAATATGCATTTTTACCTAACAAGTTGTGGCAATATGTTTACATTTTTCGTTTGTTTTAGCAAAGATAAAATTGCACATGATTTTTCTAATCCTAGCACTTCAGCAACTTTAACAACCGTTTTATATATTATGGACAAATCATCTTCTTTCATATCTGTTAAAATAAATTGAAAATTTTCTATTAATACGTATATAAAATTTGTTTATAAAGGAATTAAATTTTCAAGCCTTACTTGAAAGAAATTTTGTGATATAGTTCTGCAGTATAACTGACTTCTGCATATGATAATCCTTTAGTAAAATGTCAATTTTATAATCTTTTTTCAATATGTATAATGATTTTAAATCTTTTATCATTTTGACGATATTGGTGTAACGGAAAGAACAATCATTTAATTGTGCTAATAAATCATGTATTCTGAATTCTAAATAATCCAGTATTTTTATATGGTAAATCAAAGATGTTGTCACGTTCTAAAAAAGCAAATATATTAAATACAATTAATTATTAAAGAAATCTATTATTTCTTCATTGATTTAGTATTGTACTATTAAAATTCATTACCTGAAAAGAAGAAGCGGCAACAATATAATTAAGAATTCCTTCATAGCAATATAAAACGTCAGTGATATTATTTTCTAAATAATATAATGTATCTATTGCTTTCTGCAAATTTCTAAACCCCAATGTTTAATAATAGATTAAATAAATGAAAATAATTTTATTTTCAAGATTTTTTTCTCTTTAATATAGATTTTGTTTTTATAGATAAATATGATACATACCCTATATTTAATTGAAAGTTTATGTATCGACAAAATGCATCTTGTCTTAATTGCTGATTCCTTTTAGTCAGTGTATCTATATCATTAATAACAGAATCACGATCTTCTTTTATTATACGTGATATTAATTTCTACAAATAAATGATTATTAATATGCAACATATAAAGATGTAGAAACATATATATTCGTGCACACGATTCATACTAACGTTATTTACGCCAATTGTTGCATATCCATATTTTTTTAAGATGACTTTTATTGGAACATAATCGCATTCAACTTTAATTTCAAAAGATAACTCATGGTCAAAATTACTATTTGTTTCTGCCAAAGTAATGATAGTTGAGCTCCAAGGTACTGGTGCCTTTCTTAAGACTGTCAAAGTTTGCTTTAATCGATTCTAAATACAATATAGAATATGAAATAAAATAAAAGATATTTTTTAAATTATAATACAAGGCAAATGTGAAGAATATATCTAATATTTACTTCAATATTATATATCAATTCTATTATAATAGTAACTCTTTTCTCCCATATAGCTTCTTCATTAAACCACCAACTATCTAAACTTTCCATGCTTTTCTAAAAATATTAGAGATATTTATTATAAAAAAATGTTTTAAAAATATATTTAATTATATTTATATAAAAGTACGTAATATACACGGAACAAAAAAAGTTATACCAACCTGTATATATGTACAAAGAACAGCATCGTTTTGTAAGTTATTATTAAGTATATATTGTTTTAAAAATGTATTTACAAAATCTGAGATTTTGTCAAGATTTACTTTATCCAACAACATATGTATTGCTTCTATAGGTAAGTCAATATATGTATCAAGAGGTACTCTCAATCTATAGCATAATTATAAAGATATTTAACGTTAATCTTTATGAGTTTTAAAATTATAATATCACTGACCTGTAATTGTTCTTCAATTGTTGAATATCAGATAAAACTTCAAGCAAAAATATAACTTGCTTCAATTCAAAAGAATTCTGATACCTGTATTCTTGATAGAAACATATAGATTGTTGCCCGTCTTCAAATTTGAGCAATTTTAGAAATTTCTTAACAAAGTCTATACCAATTTCTGGCCATACCGTACAATAAGATATTTCAAGTTGTTTTAGTTTCTTTAGACTCCAAGATATAATTTCATCAATCGTATCAGGCAGTAAAGATAATAATGTAGGTATAAAAACAATAAGCCATGGCCATAAACATGATGGGGTCATATCTTCAGGCAAGATTGCAAAAATATTTTGTACAGTTTCCATAGATATATGTTTTATTATATCAGGAAGATGTCTCCTCCAAATTAGAGTAGCAGATTTTAAATGACCCTATAAAGCCAGAATTAAATATATGTAACAAAGAAATATATTTCATTTAAATCACATTTAAATTACAATTATATAGTACCATGGATAAATAAGTAGTGCATTCTTCTAACAAATTTGCTTGTAAAAATCTTATCCATTCCTTCATATTTGTATCATAATTCAATAATGTATTTTCTTCAGTACATTGAATCATTTGGAAAGTTTCAAGTTTATATAAATTATCATTTATCAAAGACAAATTAGCATTCAATGAATCATTCATATTTTCTCTCTATAAATAATAAAGTAAATATTAATTTATTAGGAGTTTATATAATGTATTGATTTATGCTAATATAAAGTACCTTTATATTTTGCATTATTCTTTGCTGAGCATATAAATACATTTGTCTCATTTGTATATAATTAGAAATGAAGATTTTGCTACAACAGTCAGTCACGTATTGCACATTTTGTATTTTATCTAGAACGTTTATTAGTGCATCTACGCTAATTAAATCGGGAGTAGATTTTGTGCAAAATTGTTCTATGAATGATGCTGCTTTAGCACAATAAATAGATTCCAAGGAAAGACCTGATCTTCTTGCAAAAGCTTCAGCTGCATCAAATTGCTTCTTCTTTAATAATCTCGCTAAACGCATTTCAGGAATACTTTCCGATATCCTTTTTATCCTAAATTCATTGATAATTTTATTATCAGTAGAAAAACCCTCTACATAAAATATATTATTAGAAGTATGCAAAACTTCTAATAAATAAATAGTAGTAGAAACATTAATTTCCAACTTCTGTTCAAGATCTAAAAGGAAAAAAAAAAATATATATATATATATATATATAATATTATATTATATTAATATAAAAGAGAGGAGAAATATATATTCTATATAAATTAATATAATTTACCTGGATAAGAAATAAGACGTAACAAATATCTAGCGGGATTCTGTTTAGACTGTGTTAAAAATAAAATTTCACAATGATTATTGTGTTGTATCACTACAAAATCAAATACTGGACCATCATATATTTTCATTCCTAGTAGTGTATTTGGACACATAATAGTTAATGTATAATCTGTACGCAGACAAAGCATTTTACTAAAACAAAATAATTTTTATATAATATGCAATCTTAATAAAGAAAATATAAACTTAAAAATACAAACTTTTATTTCATTTTATTATAATTAAAAAATTACTTACTTGCTACCAAGTAACAATTGTATCTTTTTATATCCAAAAGAAAATACATTATAAAAATTATTATATTCATCATTAGGCCAAATAAAAACCGAATTTGTTCCAATCATAGTTATTGATAGTTCATCTGACAATTCATCTATCATAGCATTAAGGAACTGTAATAAATTCTTAATAAAGTAATATAAAAAGCCGAAAAAACATGATTTGATATATGTATATTACCTTCTCAGATGTAAATCCCTTGAATAGTTGAGAACATTGAACATTTGTTATATGTTCTGCAATCATAGCTTTATCATCATTAGTTAATGCAATCTCTAAAGCTTTAGGATATAATTTGGAGAAACTAAAATTTTTTTAACAAATTTTAAATTACAAATTAAATTAAAATATGAAAAAGATATAATGTAATAAAAGAAAGAAAAAAAAAAAATATATATATATATATAATACCTATAAATAACTCCAGTGTTCATAACAAGAATTATAAGAACTTCTTCACTTTGCTCTTTCAAAAATATCTGTATTATATTGTCTTGATTATTATCAGGTATAGTTCTGTAAATAGAAATTTTATATAGACTTTGAAATTATATTTATATACAATAAAGATTTTTAAAAATATTATAAATTATTTATTTTAAAAAATATTATGACTTTTAAATACTTAATTAAATACTTACTTTGTAAAAATTTGTTTTCCATCTGATAAATGTAAACAATATAAAATTTTAGTAGCAAGTACCACAAATAAAACAAAACCATCTTTGGAGATGCAGTAACGAACTATCATGGAGGGAAAATTAACATTGTATAATATTTTATTGCATATTTCATCTTCAAATACTGTAATGGATTTATCAATTGCTACACAAAACTTAGAATATTGAAGAGATGCTAAAACAGTTGGTTTTTCATCCACCTTATAAAAAAAATATATATTGATCATGTTGATTAATAATATATTAATAATAAAACTTTATATATATATATATATATATATATATATGTCATAATTATAATAATTTAAATATAATAATTATAATAATTTTAAAAATATACAAATATATATTTATATTTATATATTTTTTAAAATTATTATAATCATGATTTTGTAATTTATATATATTTATAACGACTAATAATATAAATATAAATAAATTATACAATTATAATTATAATTATATAATTAATATAAATAAATAATATAAATAAATTAAGGTGCCTCTACATGGCAGCATCAAAACGTCGAGCGTCTGCGTAGAAAACCATATCGGTACCATTGCGCAGATTCAAAATGCGCAATGGTACCGGTATGGTTTTCTGCTCAAACGCTCGACGCTTTGATGCTGCGGCCGTGTTCCGAAATTACTGCAAATTCTATAGTGCACGTTACGTATATTATATATTTTCAGTGCTGGCAGTAAACTGCCAGCAATTTCGGAACACGGTCCATGTAGAGGCACCTTTAGAATAGTTCATAATACGCGTAGTAATACAAGTTCACGCATGCGCACTTTATATAGATTTAAATATTGTACAAATCATTGAACGTTTTCAGTAAGCGACACAGAGGATACAGTGTAACACAGTGAATCACTTCATCCTTATTTACAAGGATGAAGTCCTTGTTGGTTGCCGAATGTAAATAAGGATGAAGTGATTCACTGTGTTACACTGTGTCCTTTGTGTCGCTTGCTGAAAAACGTCCATTATGTGGTATATAAATTGCATTATGTTAACTAAAAATGCTTGTTAAATTTTTAATTGCAAAGTATCGTGGCTTTTCATTTTATTTTTGATTAATAATTATATCGCACTTTATTGCTTTTCTATGAAAAATAGAATAATCGTATAACCGTCAAATTAGTCGAATAGAAATTGAATATGAATAGAATAATGTGACTACCTTTTCATGGGATTGAATCGTTGCTATTGTACACGCTTCGTATAGTGAACCATTGTTTTCTGTAATTATCCGTGTGCCGAAATTAATAGTTTCATCATCAGCGTCGAAACCTGTTTGCACTTTATTCCACAAAGCCATTTTCAAGAGTCACCAGAGTAAGCTTAGCCAGAGTAAACTTCTACTGAACTTTATATTCTATACTAAATACTAAACTATACAATCTATTGGAATAAGCCATAAGGAGTGGGGACACGTGGCATAGCTTTGAGTTTTGAATAGAGAGAAGCCTGAGAGGGTCCAGGCCGTTTTTCTATAACGCTTTCCCTATGTGAGCGAACAATTGGACAAAACCGCCATTAATGGGATAAGAAGCGATGGCACTACGCGCCATTTTTGAATAAAACAAAATACCTGAATCGAAAATACGTTTCCAGGTAGCAGAATAACGTCAAATGATATCTTAATAACGTTTTAATGACATCATCGAAAATTGAGAAATTATTTAAGTATCATTGAGGAATTATTAAGTATCATTGAAGTAAATAAATAAACTGAAATAAATTTCATAAATTGAGTAAATAGTAACAAATTATAAATACTAACAAATATAATTAATTACAATATGTTAATAAATGCAGTAAATAATGCGATAAATAATTTTTTATAAATTAAAGAATTTAATAAATGAAATTTAATAAATGAAAGTAACTGTTTCATTAAATTAAATAAAAAAATTTAATTAAAGTTAAGATTAAATTTTATTTTATTTTGTTATCTAATTCACTTTCTCTTAACTTAAATTTTCAATAAATGCAACACAAAAAAACTCTGAATAATGTTAGTTATAACCTTTCAAAGAGCATGTACATAAATTGACATACACTATATATTAGCTTTATTAAAACATACTCAAAGCGGAGGTATCCCATTAATGGCGGACAACCAATCTGCATCTTGCAACTTGGTCTCTTCCCTCACTTGAAGATCCCTATGTCGTAAATGCGGAACAGAATATGTTGTTTTCTATATATTTGATCCCCTATATATTTGATTCCCCTTCTCAATATTTAGTCTAGATATACTATATCTATGTTTGAGAGCAAAATCGAGAGACTTTAGATGAACGTTAGTGGTCAGAATGACATCGTGTAAATTTGCTGTCGTGTATCACCATGCTTATTTTTAGTTTTGAGTGAGCCATGTCGCATCATCGGTGGAATTGATGGAACTCTCGCTGCGTAATTATACACAACAAAATTCCTGAAAAATTGATGGGAATCTTAGACAAATTTCGTCAGCTTGACAATAATTCTGTTGTCTAATCCAGTCGTTGAGAAATATTGTCTATATATAGTCGGACCAGAAGATTTATAACGTCATTTTTTCAGCGAATTTGTATCAGGATTTAGCTATGAAGAAAACGCGCACTAACATCTTTCGCGATATCTATTATCAACCTTATGATGATTGCACACGGCTAAAGCTTTATTCTAGCAGTAAAGGTAATTATCTTTTATTTAATATATACAAACGGTACAAGTGTGCGATAATTTTTATGAAAAAATTACACATGTCTTTTTATATTGTAAACATAATAAATTAAACTATTAATTATTTATTTGCAATTATAATAGATGAGGCAAATAACAAGTAATTATATATCTATGTATTTTGTCATGTTAATCAAATTTTGTATCTGTAGCACATATTAAATTATGCATCATTAGAGTTATTATGTTTGAAAAAATATTGCTAATTTATAGTTTTACAGCTAGTTTACAGATGATACAGCGTATGTCATTGTTGAAGAGACTGAAAGTCCACAATGGTTGTGTGAATTCTATTTGCTGGAATAGTACTGGAGAATTGATACTGTCTGGAAGTGATGATCAACATCTTGTTTTAACTAATGCACATAAATATGAGGTATAAATATTATATAATATTATATTATAAATATAAATATAAGGTATATAAATATTATAGTATACAGTTGACAAGATTTGCTAATTAAAAAAATATTTTGCACATTTATTCATATTTAAAATGACCTTATTAATGTATATCAATTGTCTTGAAAAAAGCAAATATTACATATGATGCACATATTTAATTTTAGAATACTGTGCAATTAGTAATTCATATATATATTAGTAAAGTAAATTTATTACTTCTCTTAACTTGTTACTTATGAATACTGTCAGAGATGTTGCCAAGATTATTTTTAATTTTGCCCTTGAAAATCATGTGTCCCGAAATGTAATACTTGATAATATTCAAAGTAACTTTTTATCTTTGATTTCTGACAAATATATTTATATATGAAGTAGTAAAATTATAAATTAATTATGAGTTACTTAATTATAAAATTGTTAATTATAAAATTGCTAATTATAAAATTACAAAATTATAAAATTATTATTTCCTAAAATATATTTTTCTAATTCTTGCTTTAAAAATATGTTCTTGTTATTTTATATACACGTGATATATTATTATATCTAAGATTATCATATCTAAGATGCTCTAAAAGTCTGGAAATGATCAAATATTTCAGAAAGAATGCATTTTAGAAAAAAGTGTTTTAGACAAAAGTTGTAAGGCTTGAAAAGATGCATTTAATGACAGTATTAATTTGCCCATAAATGGCATTGTCAACATCAGGTCAAAATCATCTTTATTTTTTTAAATGAAAATCCCTATTTTTCATTGCATATTTTTGTACCTTACTTCGAGAGCTTTCCAAAACACTATAATAAAGTATATTTTATTAAGTAACTTTTCGAAATATCAGACTTGAATCAATTTCTTAATTTTATATTATAAAATAAGATATTAAACTATAATAATAAAAATAAAAGATATTAAATTATCCATCTGCAGAAATATTACAATGTAACATTGCAGCAACATATTAATACAATATATATGTGATAATTTTGTGTCTATTTATAAAGTAGGGATTATCAATGAAAGATAAAAAATATAGTAACTATTTTTAATTTTTATCACTTTAATTTCTGATATAAGTAGATGAGATTCAGAATATTAAACTGATTAGAATCAATCTGATAAATGGACAATTATTCATTTACTGCCTATTTGAGGCATAAAGCAAGAATTTAATTCTAAATAAATTATATTTCAAGTTTTATAAGTTAAATTTAATTACTTCTATCATTTACTTTATTATTAATTTAAATTGAACTAATCCTTCGTATTATATGAGATATAACGATATAACATATATTACATTATATATCATATTAGAAGAAAATTATAATTAATCGATAATTCGCCGATAATACTTTCTCTCTAAAAGTGAATCAGGGAATAAATACTTACTGATTACAAGCAGTTATAATTACAGCACTGATTACATTGATAATATACTGATTCACTTTTAGAGAGCTTATTTAGTAATAATTTATTTTATTTGCATTTATATAACATTTATATAACATTAATATATAAGTAAACGCAAATCTTGTTCGATTTCCGATGTCAATTTGTCTTCAGATTGCATGCGCAGATTCTGCTTGGTTTCTGCTGACAATCTGACATTAAATTGCTTTACGCAGAGCCTGCTCGGTTTCTGCTAACAGTTTGTTGTCAGATTATGTTTTACAAACTCTGTCGTCAGAACACAAGCTTAATGCGGATGCAGATGGCTATGGTTCTGGTGTGCGATTCTGATCGAATCTGTTGCCAATCTGCTGACATTTTGCTGACATTTTGCTTACTAGGAAGTTAATTAAAAAAGATCGACCAATTCGTGCAAATAATAGCGCATGGCGAAAAGAGACAATCCGAGCCTGTCACGCTGTGGCTGCTAAGATGAGAGAATTACACACAACTCGCATGTAATTGTTATTTGTTAGAGTTCCTTTCAACACTTTGTTATGCGTTTAATAGCCATGTAACAATCGGCTGTCTTTCCTCGCCACATGCTAATATTTGCGCGAATTGTGTGATCGATCTTTTCTAATTAATTTCTCATTAATTATTGCGAAATTAGTTTTTCATTAATTATCGCAAAATTAGTACAAGACATTTCCTCAATTTAATTATCGGACACTCTGTATAAAAAAATAAATATTGCACTACTGAATATAATACGCATTTTGTAATATTTTAATAATGTATTAATTACATTTATAATATAATTTATTATATAATAAATCATATAATAAATTTATTATATAAATTATAAAATACAATATTTATTAATTTTTTTAAGGTATTAACGGCTTACAAAACTAGTCACAGAGCCAATATTTTTAGTGCCAAATTTTTGCCTAATAGTGGAGATCATTGTATTGTTTCGTGTAGTGGAGATGGCATTATTTTGTACACAGGTAAAAATTAATAGAGTATAATTATAAATTAAATAATGAGAACAAATGTTATATTAATTTTTTTTATTAATTGTCAACGTTTTTTTTGCAGATTTAACGAGAACAAAAGAGACGTTTCACAATCAATTTACTTGTCATACTGGTACTACTTATGAGATAGCGACAATATCTGATGAACCACATAGTTTTCTAAGCTGTGGAGAGGATGGAACAGTTAGATGGTTTGATCTTAGAGTGAAAGATAAATGTAGCACTGTAAGATGTAGAGAGGTAAGCACTATTCTCTACAATTTTTTCATAATATTATTTAAAATTTTCTATCATACATTTAGAATATATTATGACGCATTGAAAAAGAACATTTTTAAAATTATTCTTATTTTAGGATGTATTAATCTCATGTCAAAGAGCCGTTACTGCTTTGTCAGTGAATCCTGTAACACCTAATCATATAGCAATTGGTTGTTCTGATAGCACTGTAAGAATATTTGACAGAAGAACTCTTAGTACATTAGCTACCGGTAATTTTTGCGAAATATATAATGAATGACATATAACAGTGTTATATAACAATAATACAGAGTACATATATATGTATATTTTTCAGATTGGAAAGATGCGGACAAATTAATGAGACCACTATGCAGCTTCACTGTCCCAGAATTTGAAGGTAGTTCTTACAGAATTACATCGCTCAGTTATAGTCCGGACGGACAGGATGTTCTTGTCAGCTATAGCAGCGACCATCTCTACTTATTCAGTATCAAAGTAACGTGTCAACAGTTGTGGGATAACATTTATTTATTTTATTTATTACATTTATTTTACAATGTTGTTTCCATTTCATTTAAATATACATTAGTTCTTTCTGACATACATTAATATATTATTTATTTTTAAAATTATTAAGGATCAAGGTAGTCTGCAATTGCGAAAGGATGCGACAATAGGAAAAGGAAAAGGCAAGAAACATCCTTTAAAGTCATCCCAACCAGTTCGTCGTTTAAGGCTACGCGGCGATTGGTCTGATACTGGTCCTGATGCACGTCCAGAAAGAGAAGGAGGACGTCGCAGTGGTACAGGTAAATTTATATATTAAGATTAATAAAAAAAATTAATGCAAAAATATTTGTCGTTACTATGGCAATCGATATTTTGATTCATAATAAATAAAAATTAATATCCAAATATTAAGTAAATAAAATGTAATATAATACACACAAATTTTCCTATAACGGTGGCAAATTTTTTGCATTTTTTACCTAGCAAATATTAAGTAACAGTTATATAACTATTAGTCACATTATAAGCTACATTATAAGATTATACTATAATGTCACATTATAATATTATAATATTACTGAGAGCAGTTTAATGTTATTGCAATTTTGCAGCAATATTTCACATATAGAATATTCCATTGTTATATTGAAATATCTATGTTATATCTATGTTTCTGCAATTTTTCTGTACCATTTAAGAATTTATATTACATTTATAAGTGGGAAATTATAGCTTACCGATAATATTTACAATGTTATTTGTAATATTTAGTTTTGTTACACTTATATGACATTAATATACGTAGATATTTTATTTGAGAAATTTTAATATTGCTTGTGTATATTATTTACTAGAAGTCGCTCAGGCAAGGCCGATTTTGCACACGTCCTTGATGCAAAGGATGACGGATGTGCTTAGTAGAATGCTGAATGATCCGGCTACTCGTGCCGCTTTGAGTGGTGGTGGCGAGGACAGTTTGGAAGATGTTATTGAGCAACGAGAAAATTTTCGAAATATTGAGAATAATCCTGAATCAAACGCGGAGAGAAGCAACGAATCAGTTGAATCAAGTACTGAGCAGAGTGGTCATCTAGAAACGACTGGTAACAAAATTAGATTATTTACATGTTTTATTTCGATGCTTGATTCTATTAGTATGTCATTTTTAGGGAATACAAGCGTAGATGTTAATAGAAATGTAAATACGAATAATACTGATAATTCTCAGGCAAGAGAAGAACCACAAGAATATAACCAGTCACTATTGTTAAATACATCGACGAATGTAAATAACGATATTCCTATAGAAACTGAATCTAGTCAAACCAGGCAATCGCAAATTGCTTCCACAGAATCTATTAGTAGTCATAATAGAACAGAACATAATAATATATATAATCAAAACAGAAATAAGGATGAAGGTTCATGTGCTAATATATCTAGCAAACAGGAAAATATGATGGAGAATCTTCAGGATAGATTAACAACAATGAGAGATGATTTCCTTGAAAAGTAATTAAATAAAAATTAAATTTTTCCTCGTTAAGAATTTTAACCCCTTTTTTTTAAATATAGAGATACATTTTATAATTGATGAGAATCTTAAATATGTGAAAATAAACATACCGAATTAATACATATGATTTAATATATAGACATGGTAGTGAACCTGCTGTGAGTTTAATATATTCTGATAAAAGTTCAACCAATGCTACAATATCGCTCGATGTTGGCGATGAAATGACTCGTGATGGCTGTCATCCAGGTGAGTATTTCAAAGATCATTTTTATTTCAAGTTAATATTTTATTTATGCACTGACTTTACCACACAGTTTGTTTTCAGGACCTTCCAGAAGTAATAATACTGGAACTGTCGATGCAGGCCCGAGCAATAATTGCAACTATCATCACTATAACGATATTAGAGAAAGTACATATCATTTATTTTGTTTCATTAATTTTGTTTTATAGATTTTAATACATAATATTCTATATATTTTTACAGAATTTGAAGAAACTACATGTATTGATAGTGATGATGAAGATGTGCAATCAGATGAAAGGTTTGTTGTAAAATGTTATGATAAAAATTATTCCTATACTAAATTTGTAACCTTTTTGCTAACAATTTATAATAGGCAATTGGAAAGATTTATTTTTGATAGAGATACCTATTCATTTTTATTGTTCTTGGGATTGACATTTCTTTAACTTTAATAATTTACAGGTTATTAAATCCAATTGAGGCTGAGATGGACGAAGCTATTGCTAATGTTCGTTCATCGCAAGGACACGAAGCGTTCGATGATCTGTATCTAACAGAACTTTGTGTGAAACAAAAGTACATGGGTCATAGGAACGCGAGGTATGATATATTTTTAATTTTTTTTCTAATATTCATCAAATTATATCTATAAGAAGAACGATATATGAGATATATGTTTCTAAATTCGTGTGGATGGTTTGTACAGAATTTTTATAAGGCTTTTGATCGACATTATAGATTGTCAAAGCCGAGAAATCATATAAATTTAAAAAAAATGAAGTTTTCATATTTGCTTTTTTTAAATTTTATTAATTTATGTTATATTAAATGTGCGAGTAGTGGCATGTAAAATAATTTTTATACAGCATGACAAAATTACAGCAACATTGCAACAATATTTATCCGTCTTTAATTTCAAATAATCTGTTTAATAAATATTCTGAAACCTAATAAAGAATTTAGATTGTTAAATAAATTATTTTAAGTAAAAATAGTTATAGCAATGTTGTTACAAGTTTCTATGGATTAATTTATTTGGATATATTTTACAAAGAAAGTATTTATATGGTTTCTCGTGTCTAATATCATAATTTAATATAGCTGCAGCAAAAGAAATAGGAGTTCTAAGGTTGAAGACTATTAGTTATAATTATTAGATTAACAAGATATTAAAATAATTAAATCAAGAAGCTGAAAAAAAACAAAATATGAAGAAATGTTTTTATGATTCAAATTATATTTTATTAATCTATACAGTATACACGCCAAATCTATTTGGTAAGCGTCTTAAATAACGATAACTTGGACTTTATTTAATCGAAATATATCAATGTATAATATCTGACGGATCGGACGCCAAATTATTGACTCATGTAGTTCCGAAAAAGCCTCCGAGCGGACTGGGCGGACTGTACAATATTAATGCCGCCAAATTATCTCTGATCGTTCGCCTTTCCTCCACTTTTGACTCTAGTTTCTTTAGGACTATGATTAAGGAAGCAAACTTTTGGGGCAACGATTTCGTCATGTCGGGTAGCGACTGCGGTCACGTATTCGTGTGGGAGAAGGAAACCGCGAAATTATGTATGCTATTGGAAGCGGATCAACATGTGGTAAATTGCCTTCAGCCGCATCCATTTCTCCCAATGTTAGCCACTTCTGGTATTGATTACGATGTGAAACTATGGGCGCCAATCAATGATGAGTCGAATTTTGACGAGAAATTTGCAGAAGATGTAAGTAATAATACATTTTAAATAAAAGAATATTACTTTCTTCCAAATAATACTCTCTTGTAAAAAGAAAGAAATAGACTTAATATTTTACGTTTTATTTTATTTTCAGTTGAAAAAGAGAAATGCAGTTATGTTGGAAGAGACCAAAGACACAATAACTGTACCTGCAGTTTTTATGATTAGAATGTTGGCATGCCTTAACCAAATACGCAGAGGTAGTGAAAATTTATAATAGAATATTCCGAAGATCTCTTTGTGTGTGCGATAATTTGCTATTACATGAATACATAAGTAAGATAACTACATTGAAAACTTTTTTATTGCCGTGCAAGTATTAAAATGGTTTGTACTGGTAGTGAAAGATTTTATCACAGTTTTGAATGCATTGAATATTATATTTATCCAATTTATGCAATGACTTGATTTTGATCTACTTGCGTACAGGAAATGCCTTAATCATACTACATAGAACAATATAATATACAAGAATAAATTTATGTTTTAATTTTTCTTTCAAATTATGTTCTTTTTTAAAACAATTTTTAATTATTTAAAATTTCACTTGATAAACGAATAGTAATGTTTAGTAACATATGATAATACATGGTATAAGTCTGAAAAATATGGTATAAGATGAAAGATATTTTTCTCTCTCAAGCCATCTAAAATTTCAATTTATTATTTACGAGGTGAATCGAGTGAAATGTTCAGATGTTTATTTTTTATTTTTTATTAGATTATTTGATTTTTTTTAGATTATTTTTTATTGTTAGATATACCACACACAAAAGACATTGATGAAATTTGAAGACTACGTTCATTTCTTAGAAGTCGAATAATGGTAAATTTATATAATCCTGTTTATTTTCTTATTTCAGTGTAACAACAAATATTTAACTGTTAAGTTAAATATTTAACTATATTAAATGTTTCTATGTTTTTAAATGTCTTGTTTAAAATTATAGGTTGATTTTGCTTATTTTATTCAATTATTTTATTAGTATATTTCAATTTAAAACCAGAAATAGGATAGAATTAATTTTAAATAATCTTAAAATATATATCACGGTTCAAGTTATTGGGTTAGAAAATTACATACTACTTATTATATTTTCCTTAATAACTTTATATTATGAACAACGAGCGTCAACTAAAACCTTCATAATATTAAGATGATTTTGATAAAAGATAAAAAATTAATATTTAGATTTATATTGGAAATAATACATTTCATTTAAATTTTTTAATAAACAATGAATTTGGCATGTTATTCGAGGATATGATCTTGACAACATATGTTAAAATCATTGTGGGATAAGTAAATGTAAATATTTATCATCAAAATATTAGTTGCTCCTATAATAAAAATATAACATTTAGTATATTATCAAAATCAAATCTAAGATGTAATAAAAATATTGTAACTTTTTAATGAAACTAAATATACGTATGCGCGTGCGTATATACTATCATATATATTAAACAATAATTCTTTTAAAACCACGCTCTATGCATTGTAAAACTGCATTGTAAAAGAAGTAAAATTTTGGTAAATATTTGATTTTTCACTAAAATTATATCTACAAAAATATAATTATATATATTTTGTTAAATCTTATTAATTATATACCTTATAGATAATATATAATAATCTTAAATGATAATTTTTCATGAAATAATATATTTTTCCACACACAGAGAGATGTACATATTAAAAATTCATTTAATTTTAACTGTTAAGAAAAGTATAAAAAAAGTAACATCTATTTAATTTTAAGAAAAGTATAAAAATTTCTCTGTTATTTATTAAATTTATTATGTTAGTAATTATTTGTACAGATAACATTGTTTAATTTACTCATATTTATATAGCATACGAAATGTACGCATATGTACGCAATCACGAATACGTGCATACGCCTGCAACTATACACATATTATTTTATATATATAATTATATCTGTATATTTTATATAATTGGCTTTAATTTTCAAAATTTTATTTTAAACTACAAAATCAAAACTGAGGATAAAACAAATAAATAATATAGAAATGATTTATATATATATATATATATATATATATATATATATATATTTCTTATTTTAAAACTCTAATATTTAAAATCATACATTTTTGTTTGTTTATGTCGAACAAATTAGATAGATACATAAATATTAAATATATTTAAAGAAATGTATTTAAATATATTTAGTGGCTTACTATTTGTTTATTCGTATAATAAAATTGCACGATGTTAACTATTTTGTAGGTCGAAGTCGCAACAGGAGACGGAGCAGCGAAGTACGAAATAATTAGAACTCTCTTGATAATATTACCCCAAATTATTAAATTATAAATATAAATAAAACTTATATATCACACACAATTGCAAAATTGTGATTACGATAATTCCTTATCGATCGAATCAATTATTAAATGTTTTGTCTTGATTGGCTTGAATAGATCTCATGATATAAAATATAATTTGAATGTTAAATTTTAATATTAATATATCGATAAAATATCTGATATCGTGTTGAAAACATCGTCATATATTTGTATAAAACTTATAATAACGTATCAAACTAAGATGTATTTTTTTGCTAGTATACTTGCTACTCTGCTACTAGCTTTAAATACCAAATAGTATTATTTTTTTTGCTATCTTATGTGCAATTTTACATAGAATTTCTAATGAGTTTGTATTGTTTTGTTAGTGTTGAAAAAAAAATTTTGGTACAGAATTTCTCTGTACTTTAATATTTAATATTATTTATGATGCGATACATGTTAATGCTATGATACTTATTAGCCGATTCGTATTATCATGTGTTTTATGCAATAATTGTTAATAATAAAATAAGGAATAGTGCAAAACTAATATGTTAATCGAAGATTTGCAAAAAAGGGTGTTTTGTCTCTACTTATATCTATTTTATTATATATTATTATGATATAAGAAAAATAATAATTTATGAAAAATAATAAAAAATTAGCTACATATTGATGATATCCTCGATGGAAGGAAAAAAATGGAATCGTGCAATTAGAAACTATTAAGTTTTTATATAATATCTCGTATGTAGACTTTATCATTTATTTTAATTATTACAATTTTATGAATATTCACTATATATTGGAAATAAAATATTTCGTAAAATTTTACAGAATTATATTTCATGCTCAAGAAAAGGAATACATAGTATTGGATTGTAGCTTAATGCTCAAGAGGGACGTTTCATTTTTTTCTGTTCACTGCAGGCACAAATATTCTGTAAATCGCATGGTCAACTTTTCACGTCCATTGTGAATCATTTACAATTTACATTGATAAAATTCAAAGAATAATAAGAATAATAGAACTCGATAATACAATTTGATCCCATAGAAAAGGACAATGCGATTATAACATTAATAAGACATTAAAAAATCTCTATCGCTGTGTAACATGTGCCTTTAAGACAGGTCTTTAAGTTAAAGCAATAATAATAATAGTAAATGTATTCATTTGAGGTTTGAGGCAGGTTTATGAGAAATATCGAGAATATTAGAGATTCACGATTGATAATCGTTACGCCGCATATCTTGTGTAATATTATCTCTCGCTTGTGTAATTTTAATATAGTCATATTGAGAAAGCAGTTATTAGACGAGCAACTTCTTACACGTAAGAGTTAACGACATATCTTTACAATTATATATTATCAAGAAGAGTTTGTTTATATAATAAAAATGTAAACGAAACGCATAAATAATTATTATTAAATCCCATCGGCGTCGATCCTTTTTGTCCTTATGCTAATAATTTGTTAGAGTTTTTCGCAATAAATTCTAATAAATAGTGGCATATATATATACATAAAATACATACAATACGCAATTAAATTATAAAAAAATTTAAATTGCCGAATATCTAAAATGCAATAAATTATTTTCTTTGCATTGTAGTTAAATCAACAAATTCATTGTGATGATGAGACATCATACATACTATAATTCTTGATTTCAAATTAATATCTCTAATTATAATAACGAAAAGAGTAAACTGGAGAAAAAAATATAAAAAATAAAATAAAAAAATTTACATTCAACATCAGAATCTTATTTAATATGAAACATACACATATATGATAAAATTACTTAATTAGAAATATAACAAACGATATGTAGCATAATAATAAAATAATATTAAAAAAATAATTTTACATAACATTACAAATAATCATTATAAGAATTATAGATATGTATGGATTATAGCGATTGTCGTAAAAATGTACAAAAGGATCGCGCATTTACAAGTCATATCTGAATTATAGTGACACTTGAGGCGATTAATTATGATCTATCAAGGTTCGATGAAATTTTATTATCGATCGTCTTTGATCTTCTCTAGCCTAAAAATTTTCAGCACATAAATATTATCTCTTAATTTAAATTCTATTAAACGCATATATAAGAATTTCTCTTTGAATATAAATCGTCGTTCATAATCGACTATAATACGCATAAACGTCCATAGAATACGCAATTTTGTTTTAATAAATTGTAATTATTAATCACGCTGGATCAATCGTTAAGCGGAAGAGGGTTGACAATTAATATATAATATATCAAGAATTCGGTTGAGATCAGGGATATATCTCATATCTTATCCTAAATAATTTGGGAAGCGATCTCGTCATAAATTTTTTTCCTACAATTAAAGATCTCCAAGGAAATCTCAAATATATAGAGGAAAATTAATGCATGAAAATTGAATAGTTCAAGGATAATAATATATAAATATATAAATATAAATATACTATATATATAATATTCTAAAATAAAGCGAAATCTTGATGAATTCAAATCTGGTAGATATTTTAATGATTTATTCAACAACATTATTTAAATCAAGAAAATGGAAAAAAATTCAAATTATGAGAAAAAATTGAAATTTTTATTACTAATTTAAAAATTTAAATAAATTTAATAATAATAATATTAATTACTAATAATAGTATTATAGTAATTATAATTTCAATTTCTCCATAGTTCGAAACAGGTAGATGAAGAAATAAACAATAATCGAAGATCTTTGATCGACATGGTGCGCAAAACGTGTATACAGTTCGACTATGGGCAGCTGTATGTGCTTATGTGTATATATTTTTTTATTTTTATTCCTCTATGAACATTAGGACAAAATTGTGATCAATCTTTTATTTATTTATTCGTAGATCCAATAATATCTAATAATGTTTATTATTATACTCTAGATGTATACCAAGATGAGAGAGAGAGAGAGAAAGAGAGGCAGGGAAGGAAAGAGGATGGCAGAGAGGAAGATAAAGAAAGGGAGCAGAGGAAGGGAAGAGAGAGGAAAGAAGAGAGGGAGATTAATAATTTTTTGTTTTGCTTATAGCTAAGCACAAGCAATCCTTGTGAAAAGTCAGTGAATTGAAAGAAGATTCAAATAAATTACTAAGCTTCCTTAGTAATTAGGCTTTATTTTTCGAATATGTAAATATCTCATAAATGTGAATACTTTGTGATAATTCAATTATTATATTGTGCATTGATTCTTTATTTAGAGTTTGTTTTTGTTGTTTGATCTCTCTCAGAGTCACAACATTTTGATAGAATAAGTTCAATATTGTTTCTTGCATAAGATCTGTTTTTTTTTCTAGATAGGTCTGTGAGCTTTACTTGTCATGATTATGTACTCTTATAATAAATGAATTGAATCTATTATCTCTGTATAATAGGAAACTTTTCTCTTTGCTCTCATATTTTTATATAAAGTTATAAATAGCTACGTTGACTGTTCTGATATCTTATTTATTCAATTCGAGTATACCTGGAAGGCATTTCAGAAGAAATTTGCTTTTTCATGAGGGATCTCATCGAATTGCATATAGTAAATTTAAATTTGTTAATCGATGTTTGCTAGCAAATAAATGCTTAAATTGATTTTTTATTCAACCAGTTAGTTTCTTTAAGAATGCGTTAATTCACTATTTTAGTTAGGTTTATTTAAATTGTAAATTAATGATTTTTATGTATTTTTACGTTTGTTTATTTTCTTTTTATTCTTTTCTGTCTTTATATCGTTTATTCTTTGTTTTCGTATTTTCTTTTTTATTACTTTTTGTGTGTAATGTTATTATTATTGCATCCAAAAGGAATTTTTCCATAAATAAGTTCCCATAAATAACATACATTGATCTCAAGATTTTCTTAACATATTCTTTTTAAAATTTATTTAAAAAAAAAGATATTATTTTCCTTTTCCGATTTCAAATTTGAAAATGTACATCTAGATTGATAAAATAAATTTTCTTCAAAATTTTTCGATCCATTTGTTGTGTGAGACCGCATTTATTTTGTTGCGGTTCTGTCTGACAGATGGATTGCAGCATAATCGGAAAGAGCGATATATCGAATTGCATGCGGGAGCGTTCCGATTGCGCACATGTTCGATCGGACACATCACACATATCGATGCCTAGAATAACTAGCATGATTGACCAATCAAAGTTCTCCTTTTCAATTGGCCATAAGTATTGTAATATAAGTAAGTATTATAATAATGATTTTGATGATACTTTATACACATGTAAGAAGGATAAATTTAGAAATTTTCAATTGTCGAAAACAATTCTAAAGGGTGAAAACAATTTTTGAAGTGAAGCGACTTTTTTCTCGCTATATCTCGAAAATTATTCAAGACATTATCAAAAAATATTTTATATGAAAGTTCTATAAAATATTTGGTATCATAATTAAAACCTCCATTTAACTACATTAATAAGAAATTGTTTGAAAAATCTGTGAAAAATATTATTTTTTTAAAAATAAATGAAAATTTTATTAATATGATTAAATAGAGGTAACCATGAAACTTTTGCATAAAACATTTTTCGAATAATGTCTCAATCTTCAAAAGTGGTTAGAAATGCATTTTCGAAGGACTTTAATTTTACTTTGCTCTGAACCTGACGTGATACGACATTTTTGTTTGTGGATTCGAATTCAGCGCGCAAAAATACTATAAGAAACTACTTTTCTTTTTTTAAGCCGCAAAAAGAAAATAAAATTTGTCAATATTAGTTGTCATTATACTGCGTATACATAATACTCTTATATAAATAATAAGAAAATAAAATCAGTTGTGCAATAAAAATCGATATTAACTGATTTATGAAAATCAATAACAGATGATGCATTTTTAAGTGTTGTTAAAAGTCTGAACATTACGAGTGCCACACATTATTATTTTTAATCACAATCTTTAATCACTTATAATTCAAAAATTGTAATCTTAATATTTTTGTATTTGACTTTTTATTCTATTTTATTTTCAGAATATATTATTAAAATATTATATGATGGTTTGTAATATCTTTTGAGATTGTGTAATATCTTCTGACATCTTGTATAATAATTAACATTTATTAAAATTGATTAATATAAAAATTGACAGATATATTTA